TTGCAAGGAATTAGCTAGAGGGTTTAGGGATAGCCAAGATTTGTATCGTGCGATGTCGCAACCACTTTTTGCGGAAGGCATTCACTTAACTACTATACCCTCCTTGCAGAATCGCCTGAGTGAACAGTCCCTACGCTTTTGATGGGATATATAAACAACAGACGCAACCCACTTGGAAGCTGTAGAATATCTACCTAGTATGTTACCCATTCGCAAATAGGATTTGTGCTTTGCTGTCTGTTGTGGTTGTGAGTTGAAAGTAGTACGATATACGTACACGAAATTATCAGTGCAGATTGACGACGAAACTTGACCTACTGCCGTCACATTTGTAGCGATTGTTACTGTCGTTCGAGGCTATTGCTATCCGTCAATTTATGTTTATGTTGTCATGAAAGCGAGGTTTGTATCGGATTGGAAACGTGAGATGATGATTTGAAGTTGGGGGCAGGCGTACGAAGTCAACTGCGTGCCACTGAAACTACTTATTCCATACTACATTGTTTCGTGCATCCCCTGTCAGCGACTCTTTCTCATGTTGGCTATTGGCTTTCAAGTAGAGAGTCCTTCAAACAAGTATATAAATGCAAAGCTGCAAATACATTACCACCCAGTGAGTTCCCACCTCCGAAAGATCCCAGTAACAGCGCAGACTCACCATTATCAGCACTCATGATCAACATTAGTAAAACCAATAGCTTGTTATCGCGCAACCCCTCCATAACACATCCAGGATTTCCCCCTAAATCCAATCTTCTAATTTCCCACGACCTAAATTCCCAGTATGCCCCACGCGTTTTTCATGAATTCAATAAATGGCAAGCATTTGTAGCTTCCATTTGTGGCGCTCTGGAAACTCTTATATCTGATGAGAAGCCATTTAAACTGTTATCAAAAGACCTACAGGCTTGGGGGTGATGATTTATTCATAAACGAGGGGAGGAGAGAACTCACTCCTTGGCATTTTGAAGTATGACTTGAACTATGGGGATACTGCGAAGGAAAGAAGAAGCTCGGGAACGTTTCAACGGTTTGAGTTACAGATGGTTCTGGCAAAGCACACATTGAAATCGAGTATACTGGATTTGCAAGAATTGAGCCACCGACGATGATGGATTTCGACTTGAAAGTCGTTTATGAGAATCCGAATCATTGTAGATCGCAAGAAATTGGACTAGCAAAGCACAAGGATACCTCAAATATCTAAATTCATAAAATGACAAACAATATCATGAATCCCAATCCATCAAATCTACGTCAGGGATTTGTCGCATAATCCAGTTCTATCGCCACACTTGAGCGACACTGTGGGAAACGAAATTGAGCTCGATCGTATCCCGACAGGACAGGGGATTATATAAATTTCCTGTTGATTTGGGAATCTCAATGTTTTGTTTCTCGAAGGGATGGGAGGTATCAAGTGAAAGCCAGTATCGTAGCAAATCCGATTCCGGCCAAGGGAAATGAACTCCATACCGATACTTTAGAATTCTGAATACAAGAGTTTTTGATGCAGCTGCAAGGTTACCGTCACCCATTGCTGCACTGTGATACTCCTGATTGTACGACCCATTGGCACCAACAAGCCCTATCTGATATTGTCACCTAACGCGTAGGCAAGAACATCAATCACAAATCCCAACACGCCTTGTCTAATTCGTAATCAAATCTTAACACCTGAAGCAGTAATCACCCTTTAAATCTCTCCAATGGATTTTCGACTTCGACGTAAGTACAATTTCGAAGTGACGTGATAGCTTTGTAGTAGTCGTATTGATCGTGATGATGAGACTTTGATGTCGTGTTCCGAGAAAGACGTAGAGCAATTCTATGATGGTTGTATAATTCAAATATGCTGCATCGGTTGATGAATAGTTATCATAAGCCAAAGGTTCGATTTGAGATCCACGAAAAGAACAAGTCTTTCCAGGGAAGAGCTGCATAGACTACTAGGTGAGTACACCAATTTTGCCAGACTGCTACTCTTCCAAAGTAGAACGCAAAGCTTTTTTCAACCAATTGCAATTGATACTTACGACTGGTACCTACCTATGATTATAGTAAATGGACAGTAGATGAGAAGAGCTTGTCGATAATTGAAGTTCTGCGCCGAAAGACTTTCAAGGAGCTCGTAGAGAAATACACGTATTCGCCCCTAAAATGTAGTAAATCGACATTGCTGAGGTAGCGACACCTTGGAATTAAAAGATTCAAGAGCTTTCTTCAATTAGATGAAGTGGGAGTGAATCTCATAATTCTCATATTTCTCTTCGCTTTACCAGAAATGACTTTTACAATTCAATGTTCTTAAAACCTTAAACACCGACAAGGGATCTTGAAGTCATGTGACTTGGATTTGATTGGTCAACCAAAATTTTGAAAATTCAGTTTGTGGGCTCGGTAAACCCTAACTTTTGTTTCCACGGCCTCTGCAGCAACTTCGATATTTTCACGACGACGAGACGCCCGACAACCACAATCGACAACCACCCGACCCTTACTCAAAATGGTATGCGACAAATTCTTTGGGGAGATGTTGACGTTCAATTTATGGAAGAAAGATGGCTAACGGATCATCGCGATTAGTCGTCCGGAAAAGTAAAGACTGGCCAACTTTGGTCCAAGAACAAGGCGGACCTCGCAAAGCAACTTGGAGAGTTGAAGACTGAGCTCGGTCAATTGAGAACTCAGAAGATTGCTGGAGGATCTGCTGCTAAGCTCACCAAGATGTGCGTACTTTAATTATAATCGTTACTCTTTCGACCTACCGAAACTTGGATGAGAATTTGCGAGATACAAGATCATTAAGATGGATACTAATGAAATCTTCCTTATAGCCACGACGTCCGAAAGTCAATTGCCAAGGTCCTCACAGTCATTAACGCCAACCAACGCGCACAACTCCGTCTCTTCTACAAGGGAAAGAAGTACCTTCCTCTCGATCTCCGAGCCAAGCAAACTCGTGCCATCCGTAGACGTCTCAGCAAGCACGAGAAGGAGTTGCAGTTGGAGAAGACCAAGAAGAGATCGATGCACTTCCCACAAAGAAAGTTCGCTGTTAAGGTATGCGATTCCGCTGGCCCCGAGTCAATATCTTTTTCCGAGAGCTTGAAGATAGTGGAGGGATATTGATGAAAGATTTTGGACTCTGATGCTAACTTTATAATAGGCGGAGGCTTAGATTTTCTGGACGTAGGTGTTTATGATTGTGAGGATGGCTGGCATGGTGCCTTTTGCCTGGTTTGTTTTCGCACGGGTCACGGTGTATCATCGAAAATAGCATGGCTAGTAAAAAAGCCTTTTCCAATAAATCAAACGACTTGAGCAAAACAACAAATGGGTCCTTTGGATTTGGTGTGATATTTTTTGCGAGCGGTTACGCATGGTTCCGAAATCGAAGGAGGGTTCGAGACTTCTATGGCCATTATACCCAGGAACTTGCGAATGTCGATATTGGGGAGAGCTATGAACGATTGCAGCAGTGATCTCGAACAAGCTGTTATATTTCACAATATGCTGTGGCTCGTGCTTGAAATTTTGGTACTGGTTGGCACATTCTACCGCAACCTGAAGATCCCCATGAAGAAGCCAATGGACACGATTATGCCATTCTATGTTGATTTTCCCTTGTACCATTTGCCAGATTATGTCGTCATAATGAAACCGATATCATTTCATTTTGACCCTTGCACTCAACTCCAGCATCTGCCTATTGATTCCAACCATGATCAAATGCACTACCTAAATTTCCATATATCACAATGTTCCAGACCACCCAATTTCATCTCAATACTCCAATTCCCATTCACGGCTTGTATTCCAGTTTCAAATATACATGCATTCTCCACCCTCAGCACTCTCATCACGTTCACCTCCAGTATTTTCAGTGACCAGAAAGCTCTTCGCATGTTGCTATCACTCACTCGTCTACATTCTCTTCTTGTACTTACAGGTACATGTATATCCAGAGGTCAAACGATATAAATATAAATCTTCATTAGCTATTCTCCACTCCACCGCATGTTTTCCAACTTCTCGAGAATAAAAACATCTCTACATTCCCGGATATCTATCCTCTTTTCTGCCTCATCATTCATCGTCCAGCCGATCACTACATATTCGCTAATTACTTATAGATTGTTCTTCCCTTCCTTTTCTTTTCTTTTTCATTCTTATACCCTTCCTCATCCTCATACTTTTCCTCATTTTCACACTCACTTACTTCTTTCTTGCATAGTGGTTTAAGAATTTTCTACTTTTCTGTAATTCAAGTACTGTGCTGTGCTGTGTTTCTATCTTCATTCTTGATTATCTGTTTTCTTCTTCTGCTTCTCCTCCTCCTCTCTCTCTCCTCTCTCTGGATGAGATGAATAAACGGATGAATAAATTCGATATTTATAATATATGAGATGAGATGTCAATGAGTGGAGGTGACTCAAAGGCCCTGACTAAACTGATGAATGAATGGATGGATGGATAAATAGACAAATAAATAAATATAGAGAAAGATACAGAGAAAGATACAAAGAGAAGAATTCAAGAATTAATGAATTATAACATACATAACAAAGCAAAGTAAAACATAATAGAATAAAACACAACAAAACAAAACAAAATAGAATAGAATAGAATAAAACACAACAAATTAAGATACCTAGGCTCGAATAGAATAAACCAATAATTTCATTTCAAATCCCCAAAAGTCCTCATACCTAGTCATTCATAATAGAGCATATCTATCACGTAGAAATACCAATAAGAATTCAAGTCTCAAAGAATCTCAAAATATAACTCGTTCCCCCTACCTAGTTATTCGCCATCACAAAGTTCATTTCACCTAGATGATTCTCCATTTTCACTCTCTCACAATATCCTCTCCTCTTCTCCCTCTCCAATCCAAATTTCACCAATCTCAATCTCAATCTCAATCCATAATATAATCATATATCATTAAAATTTCAATAAGGTATTAATCACTAACTACCAGCCGGCCGGGTAGGCATCCACTCATTTACTAAAGACTTTTTGATATCCCCTCCCATGCTCAATTCCAATTCCCCATTCCCTTTTCTCCCTCCATTCCGCTCTCCCACCTACTATTCCATGTTCCTACGCTACCATTCATATGATCCATCCATCCATCTGTCCAGGTAAACGCTTAATTTCTTTAATTTCAAGCCACCCATTCGCATTCGCATTTATGTACCAGGTATTCTCAAACTTTGATATCCACCCATATCTACTTCGCATAATATGCATCGCTGCCATGATAATCCATCGTACCATCTCGCTCGCCAATATCAAGTCGCACCCTGCCCCATGTCCCATGATTCATGATTCGTAAATCATGATTTTTGTTTCTCGTAGAATCATTACAGTAAGTACCACAAAAGCTCCATCCCCCATTCCCCATTTCTCACCACCCATATCCATTCATTCCACTGCATCCCTAATCCCTATCATTTTGCCCCATATTCCCAATACTATGTCCATCATAACTATCCCCTGCCAAACTCTCTGTAACTTCACTATTTTCCTCCTCCCCATCCACACCACCTGCACTGCTTCCTTCGCTAGCCTTGTTCTTCTTCCTCTCATGCATCTCCGCATGTCTCTTCAACTGGTCCAACCGATGGAAAGTCTTTGGACAATCCGGACATTCATGATGACCTCTCTCCCCATGTGTCTTTCTATGTTTTGCCAAATTTGATGATTCGCTAAAAGTCTTTTTGCAAATAGAACATTCGAGTGGTTTTTCATGGGTATGTATACGCTCGTGGACTGTGCATGCGCTTTGTTGAGGAAAGGATTTGGGGCAATATCTGCATTTCCATGGCTTTTCACCAGTGTGGAGACGGTAATGTTGTTTTAAGGATTGCGCTGCTGCAAATGTTTTTCCGCATCCTGGAAAATCGCACGTACATTCTTTGACTATTTCGACTTGGTCAGTATTCTACAGGTAAGAGAAGTATCGGGAAACAACTTACATCCAGTATGACTAGCCACATGTCTTTCAAGTTTTCCTCTCTGAGAGAATCCTTCCTTATCACCCATCTTTGCTTTTCGAGAACAACCTTGCCATCTACAAAAGTAACCGGAAGTTTTGTTCAAGATAGATAAGTGAACATCCTTGACATGAGTTTGAAGATCATTTTCTGAAGTAAATACTTGACCGCAAGATTGACCACCGGCTGCCCACTTGCAAGATAGATGATTAGTTGATTCTGATTCATTGTTCTTTGCTACCGAAGCAGTCTCTCCTTTCACCTTTTCTTCCGCTTTTGCTTCCACTGACACAGGTATACTTGAAAGATCAATCTCTTCGACAGGAGTCATTGGAATTGGTAAATTGTGATCATGGTTCAAATGATTGAAGAATTGATTTGGATCTTGATATAAAGTGTTGCAAGAATCAACCTGACACTGTAGTTGTCCTTGTAGAGGTATGGCATGCATTTGATCAATGTGATTGTGAAGCATTGAAGGATCACAATACATCTCTTCGGTAGGACATCCTGGAGCAGGACATTGAAATCCGTTTATACTCTCCTCGAATGTAAAGCCATGATTTATTTGTAAGTGATCCAAAGGATTCGAGTTGAGTGGTGTTTGACAAGATGTAGAAGGCATTGGACAATTGAATGTAAATTGCGGATCAATGTGTTCCTGGTGAAAATGCCTATGCCATTCAAATTGATCATGCATTGGCTGTCCACAGTCCAACCAGTTACAACTGAACATCTCCAATCCATCACCAAAACGCATTCCAGTACCATTGAGCGAGGAACCAGACATATTATCTGTGAGTTGCTGCATTGGAAGTCCAGGTGTTTGTAAGGATGTCATATCTGAGTAAGGTGTTTCCGTATTCATGACTAGAGATGGTGTCGTTGGTACAGGAGAAGGTGAGATCTCTTGCGGAGCTTGATTGTTTCGTGATGTCGATGGCGCAAACGATTGAATTCTGGAAGATCGTTGCTGCTCTGCTGGCATAATTGCAGGAAAGTTATCCCAACTTTGATACATCCTATCAGAAGGCAGATTATCTCCAACAACTGAACATCTTCTGCTGAGGGCGCCATCTTTAGTGCAAGGTTCTGTATAGACAGGCTGCTCACACTCTGGGGAAGTGCAGACGGGTTGTTCGCACTCCTGAGAGGTGCAAGCAACAACCACATCATTTTCACCACAATCTGATTCGGCACACAGCGAACCACTTGGACAAGAACTACAGCATTCGCTAGTTGTATCGACTTCAGGTACTTTTGGTATTGTATGCACGAACTGGTTTGTAGTAGGCTCTTCATTAATTCTTTGTCGCTTTCTAGGTGACTGCTCTGTATAATTTGGAAGTGAGTGGGGGCCGGATCTTAAATTTGAATATCCTTGATGTATATTCTGCAAAGGAAATTGTTGCGACAGATCCATTGTTTGATGGTAAATGTATGGTTGGTATGATTGCGATGGTAGATTTAACTGCTGTGCGAAATCTTGAGTTTTCCAACCCTCATCTTGAGCCATTCCGCCATGATTGTATGATTGAGCAGGAGTGGACATTGGTGCGGCGTAATGCGGATCTAGAGGAAAGTTGATCGCACCAGGTTGCTGCATAGGGAAGTATTGTTGGTTGTACTCGTTATACGACATGTTTTGGAATTGCTTTAGGGCAGGCTCTTGATCCGGAGGCGATCGCTCCATGGTTGCAAGCTTCACGGTTACTTGCTTTGCATGTGAGATGTGTGGTGGTAGAGTGCGCACGACGAAGAAAAGAAGGAAGGAAGAGTCGAGATATTGCGCAGATAGCAAGAGTCAAGAGATGTAGAGAATATGATTGGAATCTTGAAGCGTCGTTGGAGCCAACCTGCGATCCTTTTCTATCCAAACGTTTGAGAAAAGCGGAATTTAGTAAGGTAAATGGAAAGATTTACCGTGGGGTAAGAAGTGGTATTTGGTGTGATGTGTGGTGTGTGGTGTATGGTGGGTGTATGGTGGGTGTATGATGTATGATGGATCCGACGGAAAGGGAGAGTTTGAGTTTGAAGCAAAGCAAAGCAAATCAAAAAGGGGATATGAGTGTGTGAGTGCGTGGGTGTGTGGTGCAATAGCTACCTAGGTAGGTGAATTGAAGGGCAAAGGTAAAGGTACGAGACTACGAGACTACGAGTACAGGTGAAGGTGAAAAAGGTATCCAACAAGGTGTTTTTGAAAGATCTTTCTCTTTCTCAACACGAACTTTAATCGATGATATGATTATTTATTATCCTTGGGTTATGATATGATTATTTACTCGTAAATCCAATCAAATGTCAAATATAAAACGTGTGACTTATTATTTATTGACGAAAGAAGGAGGTAGAGATGACCCTTCAAGTCCTTTGGGTTATGAGTATTTTCATGTCGATACCTTTATATTGACCGTCATCGTCTTTTTTTTCTGAATTCCTCTTTGACCGTTTTTTCTGACCATAAAGATTCCTCGATGACTAATAATGAGTCTTGATTGGGTTCAATTTATGATCAGGATGACTTTCAACCAATCATAAATTTTGATTGGATCAGTTTTCCCCGCCTTATGCCTCCCATGATCCTTATCGATAAGACTTGATTACATAAGGTTTCTGTTCCAGCGAGCCAGCCTCTACGTAAGCAAAAAAACAGGCGGAAATTAACCACCACTCGAAAGACCTTCAACAACTAAGATCTCTTTTGAATATAATATTAAATAATAAAACCACTTAGAATTAATGCAAAGAAGACTCAAATTTTCCTTTGCTTTTTTCAAATTTCAACATTTAATTTGAAATGAATTTATAATCTATTAAAAAAGTCCTTTGAAAGGTACTCAATTTCCGCCTGTTTTTTCGCTTACGTAGAGCCAGCTTCGAGTCCTCCCTACTAGAGCCTCGGCTAAAAGTACCTACTAGTAGGCATTGAACAAGTCCAGAGAAGTATCATGAAGTAACGAGAGAGGTGTAAGATAAAATGCATCTTAATATTCAGATATATACTTATTATTAGGTAGGTATGCAGGTAGGTAGAAATCTCATCTGAAACTTCTCAAACATCATCATACCTCATACCTATATCGACATGGCATAATATGATATTCCATTGTCTCTAATAATTCAATAACTACTACCTAGACACTCCTCTTCCCTTTACCCAATCCGTGTCAATCCCTCAACCCGGTCCACCCACCCATCATCCAATTCCCCATCTTATCCAATGACAACACAGCCTCACTCTTGGCCCTGGTGGTACTATCTCATTACTTTCGAACTTCACCTCTTCAACCACACTCCACGATTCAACTTTCTCCAATACCACATACCTCTCCTCCACACCATCCCATCACAACCAACAATTCCACCCGTGCAACATCCTCCCTCTGCCAAAATTACTTCGCGCAAACATATTTCCACTACGACTTTCTCATCGCGAGATCACAACGTTGATATCGATACCGACACTATCTTTGAATGCGACAGTGATTGTCATCCTGATTTGGAGAGAGTACGAAACCAAATATCGTCGTTGCCATCAGATTACAGCTACGAGAAACCTTTGTACAATTCAAAATCCTCACAAAATCTCTCGCATTCTTCAGATTCTTACCAGAGATCAGAATTCTTGGATCATTCGGAATACCGTCTTTTCAGCCCACTCCCGCTTCATCGCAATCCCTATCGATATCGCAATCTCGCACATTCACACCCCTCACAACTACCTCCCAAATTTTACAACTACGGAGCTATTTTGCACAATTTCAATCGCGACACTATATTTGAAGATCCAGATGAAATAGTGTATTGTCCAGTGTACCCTCTCACCCGTCCACCTCCACTGCCTCTCAATCGCAATCATAATCAAGGATATCCACACCCTTTTCGTTACTTGTAGAACATTCGAGAACCTCTCCATTCGCGCTTCGATCATACCCATCCAACAATCAAACCCCTCATTCACAGCATCCCAGCTTCCCCATATCTACACCCCTCATCCCCACAAAAATGGGAAACTGCTGCAGTACGTCTTCAGACCCCTCCCCCTTCGACCAACCCGGCCGCACTCTCTCCTCCGCGCCTCCCAAACCCGCCCCCTCAAAATCTACACTCCCTCCCTCCGTCTCCGCCTCTGCCTCAACCGTCCCTCGTACTTACACCGTCGGTGGTCCCGCACGAACTCTCGGCTCTGGATCACCGGGCACACAAGAAGATGCCAGGAGGAAAGCTGCAGAAGCGGCAGAGGTAACTTCCCCCACTCCCCAATCTGCGCCAAGCTAACCCAATCCTCCTCTTCTAAATAGGCACGTCTCTCATCCAAGAAACCCAAAGGCGCACTGGGAAAGAAACTCCAAGAAGAACAATCCCAAACCCTCGAGACAACACGTAAAAACGCAAGCACAGCAGAAAGACAAGCCAGGGATGCAGATGCCGCTGCCGAAGCTAGAGCTTTCAACTAAATCAAACAACTCAACCATCGAACAACACGAAGCGAGATTGAATCACACGGCGCAAGAGAAAGAGGAGAACGGCAATAGATGATGAAGGAGAAGTGAGATGCGTGAATATTTTTATTGGGAGAAATGGAGTTATTTTTAAGTTAGGGGTTTGGGTAGAGGTGTTTGGATAATGGATAGGCACCCATTTGGATATATCCCATTTCTTCATGTTTCTTTTCGGGCTCCATCGTATTGGATAGATTAGGAGTACCGAGTAATTTTTCGTGGATACATAATTTTGAACTTCACGACCCTTATGAATAGAGGAGTTTATTTTAGAAAGAAGGAGAAGAGGATGATCAGGAAGTAGAAGCAGCAGAGACATCTTTGAATAGGACGTTAGGTGAAGCGATAATTGAAAAAAGAATTCAACAATTCAACACTACAGTCACTTATCAATTTGCTAATTAAGCACAAGGAAACCTAAGTATGTACTGATAAAAAGGTTGTTATGTTCGTATTACAGCCAAGTGACTACCCCTCCCAATCCACATATATAAATACTTCCATTCCACCCATTTTTCCATCCCAGGCTCCGCCTAAGTAACAGTGTATCTTCCACCCACTGGTGCTCTGCCCTCTGCATCCGCCGCCGCCATCGTACCCTCCTTCAACAACCTCATCAACTCCCTCATAGCATTTGTAACTACCACCTCTGTATCTCCCTCAACCAGAATATACAACTTGGGATCCGCCTGAACTTCTTTCCCAGCCGGATAGAAGCTTCCCTTGGTCGTAATACTAGTACCAGTCGCTTCCAAAATCTTTGCCACATTAGTTCGATTCGTAACTGCCCATCTAGCTTTCTGTGGGAAATCATTAATTTCCAATGTTGCATGGAAAGCACCTGCGTCTGGTCCTTTGTTATCAATTGGGACGCCGGAACGGAGTTGTCCCGTTTTATTAAGACGTGCATTAATAGCGTCGATAGCTGATGTAACTTTATCAAGTTTGGAGCCGGTGGTAGCTGCAGGTTCGGTGCGATGAACTTTGATATCACCGTCGAGATCGATACCTTTAGGTACACCAAGCAATTTTGGTGGCGCAGTAGAAGCAGCAGGTTGAACGACTGATGCAGCTTTGAGAAGAACATCATCATCCTTCTCTTCTTTCTCTTCCTCGTCATCTTCCCCATTAATTTTGTGTATCTTACGTTCACGTGCTTTAGTGGCTTCGCGCTCAGCATCAAAACGTTCCAGACCTTTTCCACCGAATCCTGAACTTTCCTTTTTAGCACCGCTTTTGACTTTATCTTTGTAAGATTTCCTCATCTCATTAAGCCTATCGGGTACCTCCTGTCCAGATTGTTCAAGAGCTTTCGCTATACCTACCGAATACTGTTCTTGTTCCTCTGTTATGAAAGTGACAGCAGTTCCAGTATTACCAGCTCTACCAGTTCGGCCAGCTCTGTGGACATAATCTTCTAAATGATTGGGTGCATCGAAATTGACAACGAGCTTAAGCTGCTTGACGTCAAGACCACGAGCAGCTACTGATGTAGCAATCATAATAGGAACCACACCAGCTTTGAAATCATCAATTGTAGAATCGCGATCAACTTGATCCTTTCCACCATGGATAGACATACATGGATAACCTTTTCTCATCAGGTCCTTCAACAAGTCATCAGCTTTCTCTTGTCGATCAACAAAGATTAGGGTTCGAGCATCTTCATCTGTATTGTAAAGTTCTCCAAGAAGTTCCAAGAGTCTGTGAAACTTCTCTTTTTCTTCTCGCACTTCGACGATTTGTGTGATTTCAGGTGCAACAACACTTCTTCCACCAACAACAATCTCTACTGGTGATTGAAGTGTCTTCTTAGCCAGTGCGTCCATAATTCGAGGCATAGTAGCCGAAAAAAGAATGGTTTGTCTATTAGGGCGAATATTGTTAAAAACTTTCATAACTTGAGGTTCAAAGCCCATATCAAACATGCGGTCAGCTTCGTCTAGAACAACATATGTGACACGTTGCAGATTCGTGACTCTACCGGAGTTTGCTGCCAACAATTCGATCATTCTTCCAGGGGTGCAAACAATTATTTCCGCGCCTCTTTTGAGATCAGCGATTTGATCTTTGATAATAGCACCTCCGTACGCGCAAACCGCACGAAGTCCCATTGCTTTCAAAAATGGTTTACACTCTTTATGAATTTGTGTTGCCAATTCTCGTGTAGGAGTCATGATTAGACCAATAGGCCCATCAGAACCTTTCAAAGGTCGTTGATCTCGAATGTGACGGAACATGGGTAGCAAGAAAGCGATGGTTTTACCCGATCCAGTCTTGGCCACTCCAATAACATCCCGGCCAGACATAATTGCAGGAATAGCTTGCATTTGAATAGATGTAGGTCTTTCATAACCTAGCTTTGTTATAACGTCCAGAGACTTCACGTCAAGACCGCATTGAGACCACTTTTGTACAGGTTTGGGAACATCCTTACCAGCGACTTTAATACCATCGAGTTCAAGTCGTAAATCAGCAATTTCAGCTTCCGTCATCTCTGCAAGTTCTGTTGGTTCGGTGTAAAAGTTTTTTCGGAATGGTGGAAGATCCAAAGCACTATAATTGATAGTTGGAATGTCCTTCTTCTTCCTTGCTTTATTTGCAATTGCAAGAATTTCATCAGGATCCGCGTCCAAGGCTTTTAGGTCCACATCATCATCTCCAAATAAAGGTTCCGGTTCTTGTGGTTGACTCTTGATATTGTCTTTGATAAAAGTTGCATTGTTTTTCGGTACTGAAAAAGGATCTCCCATTTCTTCCATAAAAGCATCCAATGGGTCAATTTCTTCGTCTTCATCCATAGCGGTAGGATCAGCTTGAGGGGCTTCCTCCATTTGGACATCGCCATTTGTGTGCGGTTGAGCTTCGGCTTCTTGTAATCTTTCTTCACGCTTTTCTGCCGCAGCTCTAGCAGCTGCTGCCGCCTCTTCTTCCGTACCAGCAGCTTCCAAATCAGCGTCATCGTCATCATCTTGTTCCTCAACACCGTTAGCGAGCGCAGCATCATCTTCCTCGGAGTTTGCCATTGGTAGGGTTGGTAGCTTTTCTAATTTCTTTCTTGACCCTTCATCTTCATCAAAATCCAAGGCACGTTTCTGAGATGTCTTTTCATTGTCGTTAACTTTTGCTCCAAGTCCAAAAACACTGAGGTTTCCCCTTGTCTTAGGTAACGCAGATACTATAATCAAATCAATTAGCTAGATAATCATGTAAGAGTATTATTTTTGCTTACCTTTTGAGGTGCTGCTGAAAGCTGTTGGCTTTTTGTCAGCTTGTAATCCTTTGACCGTAGAAGTTAAGGTGGCGGACGCTTTAGACAATTCCTTTAATGGTAAATCTTTCCCAAGAGTAGTTGCACTACTCGAGCTAGCCACTGCCTTTTTAGCTATTGCCTTCGGATCAAATTTCCCAGCATAATTCGTTGGAGGTGCGAGATCGACTGGTGTCGCAGGAGTTGCGGGAGAGTTTGGCGAGGTTAAGGATGGAGATCCATTGGCCTTTTGATCTATAGCATCAAGTAACTTTCGAGTCCCACCCGCTGCCAACTCTTTCTCCTTACGCTCCTTGTCTTCGGCCATCTTCTTCTTCCAAGCTTCCAATTTTGCTAAACGTTCTGCTTTCTTCTGTTCCTCGGTTTGCACAGCGGGTGTTGATGCTTTCGGAACCTGCGACGCTAAATGAGTAATTGAACTTCTGTGATAGTAACCAGAATCACTCACATCATTAACTTTTGCACCAGCATCTGATCTGGGAGTTTGTCCGCGGTTTTCGTCTCCTCTGCTACGGGACCATGAGTCAGTAGAATCCTCGCGGCGTCTTCGAGCCCTATCATCATAAGAATCGTCTCGCCTGTCACGGTAATCTCGTTCCCGACTTCTACGTCGTCTCCTATCCGGTGATCGTTCCCTATCGGCGTAGCTTCTTCGATCTCGAGATCTATCACGGCGACCTGATCTATGGTAATCATCATTTAATCTCCCTACTGATCGATCTCTTCTACGAGTTATATCTCGATCCCGTTCGCGACGCTGATGTTCGTTAGTATCTTGTGACTGAGGCACGGGTCTAGAGGTAAGAATTCTCACGTCAGGACTTCGAGAACGCCTCTGTCCTCTAACATCATCTCTTCTATCTCGATCGCGTCGGCCATTATCATCCCTTCGGCTTCGTCTCGATGAGTGGTGGCTTCCTGTTGGCGATGGTGAGCGAGAATCCCTGTGCCGAGCCATTCTTTGCCCAAGTAATGGATGGTATTTCGATGGGAAGAAATACTTTTAGGCAACGATGAAATGGTAGGAAATAGATTTATTCCGTCCAAGTTTCAGTCTATAACTTCAGACTGAGTAGATCAAGAAGACTTAAGTTGATAATACTTGACGTTTATTTATTGTAGAATGGTCGTGATTACTTTTTCCACTCCGTATTTGACGTCGTTAACAATCTGCCCAAAAGATATTTAATGATACTTTGGTCTGTTCAGTCTGCCGTACCCTTGACGCGCACGGGCTTCAGAAGTTTACGGACCCTAGCGTGTTTAGACGAATAGAGGGAAAGAGCTGGATGACCTCAATCGTAATATTTCATATTTCGTTTGTGTCGTTATCATCAAAATCTCTACTCCGTACACTCCAAACACCTTACTTGTGAGACATCTGGTCACTGTTTAAGCCATCATGTTGTCCAACGTTGGCCGCGCAGCTATCAAAAGAATCGGCGGATCTAACTTATCAACAAATCGACTTCTTGCTACCGTTTGCCAGTTACAACGCGTTGATGGTCAACACAATGTCGAATCTACCTTGAAAGCTTCCTCAGCTTCTTTCTTGGCGCGCCGATTGTATGCTACTGCGACTAAAGCTACCCAAACCAAAACTGTCATAGAAAAGAAGCCAGTTGCGAAAAAGGCGCCTGCGAAGAAATCTACCACTGATGCTAAGCCTGTCGTCAAAAAGTCTACCAAAACGACCGCCAAAAAAACTGCGAAGCCAGTCAAAAAGACACCAGCAAAGAAAACAGTTGCGAAGAAGCCAGGACCAAAGCCCAAGAAGCAATTGACCGACTCGCAAAAGTTAAAGTTGAAGTTGAAGGAACTGAAGGCTATTGCGTTCCTTAAAGAAGCTCCAAAACAAATTCCCGATACTACCTATAGCGTATTGTTTATAGATCTAGTTAAGAAAGGAACTCCTGTCATTGATGCGGCCAAGGAGGCATCAGAGAAATACAAATCGGCATCGACAGCAGAATTAGAGGTAAATAATTTATCGTTTCTTTTGGTTGAACTATGCTAATCATATAACAGCGACTTGAACAAATTGCGAAGGAGAACAAGGCTGTCAATTCACGCAACTACAAGAATTGGGTTGAGAGTCACACTCCAACGGAGATTCGCGCGGCGAATTACGCACGTCATCACATTCGAAGATTGACCAACAGACCTGGTAGCCCTAGAATCATTAAAGATGATCGACTGGTAAAGAATGTTACCTCATCTTTGTTCTTATTCATGAAAGAGAGATATGCTTCTGGTGAATTTGCTAGTCTCAGTATTCCTGAATCCTCAAAGCGGATTGCACAAGAGTACAAGTCCTTGTCGCCTGAGCAACGCAAGGTAAGCTAAAATATTAATCTCCACTCATTTTGTATCCCCCTAACATGTCAATAGCCTTTTGAAGATGCCGCTTTAGCAGATCATGAGCGATACGTCCAAGAGTACAGAACAGTTTACGGAGAGGAACCCAAGGTAGCTCTCAAGGCTCAAGCTCGAGCATAGATACACTTTAGTCTTTCAGCCTCAAATTTCTCTCTCGCTTTGACTTAAGGTCTTGACAATCAAGCCATGGTTTAAACCATCCGCCATGAAACGTTATTTGCAAAAGCTTGCGTCAGGAATATGGAGTCAATACTTTCTTGTACCAAATATGAATGCGAAAGTTGAGGTATTCATGCTTAAGAATGATTTTTGTCCCTAGTTTCATTATTTTTGTCTGCAGATATCCCCTGCTTTGAACGCTAGTGATGACAAAAAGACTTTTGATGTTACGATTTCAAGGTGTTAAATGGGAGGATGGCGAGTTCACGATGAGGATCAGATACCCATTTCAATATAGGGTTCTTCTACTTAATGATTATTTGTATGTTTCACGAATAATACATGAATGAAATCATATCCATGCACCCTCAAATGTTCCACTTCCTTTCTTCCCTCCAAGAGTCCAGCCGACCCACTTACCCCTCCATATTCAGCCTCAGACCCCTCATCCCACTCATCTCATTGCATCACCCCCGCATTCTAAGCGAAAAATGGAGCTCTCATGCATGAGTCCCTTGCATCTCAGTTTACTTTGCGACATCTTCCTCGATACTTTTGCCTTTACCTTTTCTCTTCACCACTTTAGAACTACATCTTATTCGAATAAGATTACCAGTCCTTCTTCTGCTCTTGTATGCCGTCCTTCTTCTTCCTCCAAATCTTTGTCACCATGTTAACAGCTCGTAAACATTCCTCGCTTGATCACTGCAGAGTCCTCGCTAAGTACTGCTGTATTACCTTGACTCGCCTTATAATTCATTTCATCACCTCTTCCTTTTCGTTCTAACAACTCAACAATCCTGAACCCAAGCCCCAAAACTACGAGACCAATAGCAGACTTTCACTTGGATAGAATAGAATACATCGACTAATCTATAACCCCATCACCACGAGTCATCAATCCCATCTTATTCCCCTCAATCAAATTAAGTCCAAAACCCCCTCATTGACAAAACTATACGCATAGGAAGTCATGCTATCAACAACTCTTCCTACATGCGAATCTAAACAGACCCAAGTATTCCTCGTATTTTTCTCAATAAATCACTCTTCGATTTATCTATATATCATTCATCCACATCATCCATACCCTCTCGCTATTCCCCGAACGAAAAGTATCACCACTACTTATGCATATACATGTATCCATACACATACACAGAATTCAGAGCAACATCCAGAGGAGAATTTCTTGCTCGTCCCTTTCCCTTCCCTTCCTCTCTTCTGCTCAAAACCATCTTCATCCCGCCTTTCTAAATTCATATAAATCTCGCAATATAGTCCCTTCCTCTTCCTTCTTCCCTCTCATTTTCTTAGCCTCGCTATCTATTTCCCATTACTCCCTCGGAGTCCTGAACAACAAATCCCCAGCCCTCCTATGTAATTAGCATCATAAGCAATCTCAATACTCTATATCCTTATGCTACCCAACAAGTCTTCATCTCTTCATCTCTTCGCCTCCACGTACTTCCCCGAACCCAACCAAATCAAACCTCCACTCCATTACATCAAAGAAAATAAATCAACTCTCTGTTAAATAGGAAACAACGTATACTTCACAATATCCCCTCATTTAAATACTAATCATTAAAATACCATACTTTTATTACTATATTTCCCCTTTAAAGGAAGTCCTCGGTCCTGCTATATACCGAAGCACAGAACCAGAACCAGTATGTTTCCATTGGTTTCTAAGACTCCTAAACTCCGCCGGCAGTTTTCCTCAAAGCGCACGGATGCGTATATTATACCTTCCACATCCATAAGATCCACCTACATCGTGTCCCCAGGATTACTACACCACACCAAATCTATCCAATCACTTTCAAAACTAACAATACCTTTCGAACAAAAACAGACCATCTTCGTTCCATATCTAATTTGCATCCTCCCATCTATTACTTAAATACCATTACTAGCACAAGTAAACGCACCCCCAAATGATCCAGCATTATACCCATCCACAATACTCTGAACACTCGTATAAGTTCCTGCAGTTAAAAACAGCAACCCAATCAATATAATCAATATGTTGAAACTCAATCCAACCTTACTCGTCTTGCTGATCCATCCTTCCCCATGATCTACACGTCTCATTCTAATATATGCTACACCCCAGAAAATAAATCCAAAAAAGGAATCGAAGAGGGAAGACATCAAAGATAAAAGATCGGAGAAGAAGGGAATAACTTCGGCAATAATGAAGGCACCAACCCAAGTTGCAGCCAAGATGGCAATCCAGACTACCCAACCTTTCATGGTATTTTCATGGAGATGCCTCTTGTTGTTATGGAAGACGCGGTTGATAATGAAGCGGCCAGAGACGGAAGCATAGAGAACCCCGAGGAAAATGAGCGTTGGAATCATGAAAGAAAAGGAAATATCGACGTATAATTTCTTTCCTAGAGATCCAAAGGCTGGGGCTGTCATGTATTGGTTTCCAGTAAAAGCGTAAATGATTGAACCGACCAAACTGAAAACAATAACTTCGGCAATGGTAACAGCCCAAAGAGCTTTGGGAAAATCGGCAGGGTTTTTCATCTCGGCCATGAAAGAAGGGATAGTAATTTGACCAATGAATGTGTAGGAGATGTTGAGGAAGGCATTGAAACCATTTACAAATGTTGTACCCTTAAGGATTACTGCAGTAACGGTAGGGGCACCTCCAGCAAGACCAGTGGCTGCGATGATGGAGTTAGGATCGGGATTGTAGCCAAGAGGATGAGGTTCGATTCCGGCAAAAATTGTAGCGAGCATGACGGAGATGAAGGTGAAGATTGCGGATAATGTGGCTAACCAAGATAAAGCGCTGAAGGTTCTTGGAACGGAACAAACCCAACAGATTACAGCTGCAATAACGGCGAATACTACTGTGCATTGACTGTGATTGGTGATAGTATTCAAGTATTTTGCAGTAGTCAAGACATGGAGACCCTAATTATGTTAGAAATTGTGAAAAGCGGATCCGATGATTCTTACCTGAATAAAGGTATTATTCAAAAGAAACATGATAGCAGTAGCATGCCATGCCCATCTTCCACCAAAAAGCATTTGTCCAACATCACAAACATCTCTAAGTTCAGGATGACGCATACAGAATTCCCATAAAACTAGGGACGTGTAGAGGACCAAGAATGCGACAACCGCAGTCAAAATAAGACCTGGTACAAGTCCTAAAACTGAGTAAGACCATGGGAAGGACATAATTGCCAAACAGATATATTCTGAAAAAAGAAGAGCCGCAGTCTATTACGAGTTAGCATTCATACGTAGAATGGAATCGAGAATATTCTGTATTACCTTTTGCCAACTGCAACTACGATATTTGATAGCAGAACCTGCTTCGGCTTCAATCTGCTGGCTCAAAAGATCCTTTCCACTGTCCCCGCTGAGACTTGATGCATCGGCATCTAGACGAAGATGTGGCAAGACTGGACCAATTCTTGGACCAATGGTTACGGGACCAAATCCCCAAGTACTGCGCCAACTGACTTTTTTGTATTCCATGGTAGGAGTTTGATCTTCGCTAATATATTCTTCTCTAGATTTATCGTTGACATCGTTGTTTGAATTGTTTTCTGAAGACATGACTGGGGATTCTTGATTTATCGCCATTTTCTCGATGGGAAACTATTCAATGAAGTCAGAACCATATTCAATACACATTTATAACAGAAATCCAGAAACACAAAGGATGGTTGATGGCGCAATAGTTGTACACTTTCGCGAGTATTACGCCATGATCAAGATGAAGAAGAATGAGTACTTACTGAACTATTGGTGAATAGTGAATTGGGTGAAGGGTTGTAGTCTGCGCAAACCACATTAATGGCGGTATTGATTAATCTTGATTGTAGTAATCAGATTGATGAGTACGCCGGCGAGGTGTTATCTCTTGTAGATGGACTGTTGAGTGAGTTCTTGGGTTGTGAGATGTATAAGAGATGAATGGAATTCTTATGCGATATAGGAAAGGGAAAACGGATTACTTTTTCTAATCCTCCATCTCAATGTGCGAAAAACTAAGAAGATGGTTCCTTATAACTCGAGGCTAGAGGGGAGTTTTCTACTTTGATAAAGGCTTATCGAACTACAAGCATCCCCAGAAGACACTAATTTAGTGTGCAGCGAAAAGACATACCTGATAGTTCAAGGTATCCACATAACCTTGAAATGGGATGAAGGGGGATTGGATGAAGGGAAGAGTGAAATTTAGATATCTGACTTGCATACTGATCCTTCCATTTGTTCCTTGTTCTGAGTTGAGATGGGTGGAGATGTTGTACAGATAGTTTTCTTAGTACTGTATCTTTCAATTGAAATGATTCTAACTCTCCGTAGTTGTTGACACCTGCGAGTCATCAGAATCATATTCAACATCAGGGTCTCGTTTGTATAACAATGCTTTCTATTGGTAACATGGGGTTTCGAACATATCCAGCAGCCAGCAACCAGCGAGCCAGCTAGCTTCATTGTAGAGGAGCAGTCCAGATTCATATGGAGTTCATATACCGCACGGTGCAATGCGGCACGATATGCGATACGATGTCAATTATCAGTGCCCATTGCCCATTCCCTATTGGCAATTGCCTATGGCTCATTGCCCCGCATCACCTCCAAGATAAAAAATGAAATAAGCACCGATGACTTTCCTAGGCATATCTAGAACTATCCCCTCCCGCGCAAACAAGAGATATTGGCAATTCTTATACCACATTTCCAAGAATCTCTCATGCAATGTTGTCAGCCCTTTCTTTTTTATTCATACTTGCTCGAGACTTGGTATCTTGACTTGGTATCTCGAACAAATCCTCGTCAAGACCCTAGAATACATAGACGGGGAACAATATGCAAAGCCCCCCCCATCTTTTCGGAGTAGTCCAAACAAATCAATCAATCATATGGTGATTGTAGTTGTAAAACCCGGCTCGGATCAAAATCCTGGTTGGCCGATGACTTATGAGAAAAGAGGGAAAGAAGGAAGAGAGGGTGATGGATGATCCACTCTATAGAAATGTCGAGATAAAGTGTGGCTATTTCGTCATCGTTCTCACGTGATTTACGCCTCTTTTCCACAATAAGCTTAGCAATATCGGTGGTTCCGAACACCGTTGTGAAATTTTGTTCGCCTTCACTTCATTTGGTCTTCACTACGGGGGACGGGCAAAACTATGGATTTGCCATTTGGAATGCACCAATTGTTCAAATTCTGATAAAGGACACAGTATGTTGAAAGTAAGAACTGATTAGTTGGAGGATTCAAGGCAACGGGCAGCGAGAAGTCCTTGTCTAGGTAGCGCTTTCACATTCTAGCCACTGGTGCCAGACATACTTTGTGGCAGATTATTTTTCAAATCACTCCGGATAGATACAGCAGTGCAGTATACTGAACTTTCAATAGTCAATCTGTCCATTCTGTCCATTCATCCGAGCCATCCTCCCCAATACACCTTCCGCTCTTTCTTTTGCTATTCCTCAATATCACTTGATATTGCTATATTACTCAGATTTCTTGCCACCAGTTAGTGCTTTCCAGAAATCTATCCCATCGCTCAAGCAAGTGTTCAAATGTTTTATAACACCTCGGTCAATCTCATTTAGTCAAAAGCACCGTATGAAAGTTCACTTGAACTATTCTTTTGACTGTTCGGAGTTCTGCTTGATCAGAGGCTTGGAATTCATGAATTGTTCCTACCAAATCTTCCTATCAATCATCTAGCGAGGAATGTAGAATCGATTTGGCGCACCTCAAGTGAGGCTATGCCGCTATGATTGCGAGGTTGATATTACTATTCGTCTTTGGCAAGTATCGCAATATATTCTCCAATACAATAATGCGCTCCTAGGATCATTTGTGGAAATTGATCAATTCGAAGAACAATAGATAGCGGTCTTTTATCGGTTGTTGTTATTTTGAGTGTTCATTACATCTATTTTTAAAGAGAATTCAGTTCTCCGTGTGATCAAACTAATTTGCGAGCCTCAGGATTGCAATACCATTATTTTAACAGTGCTGGCGCGGCATCGCTTAACCAATATAACCTCAACTGCTACCATTCCTCTCGTCAAATGGTGGTATTGACAAATCGGCAATCTAGTTTAACGGTTAGACACATCAACTCGAGGTGCGCGCGGTATCTTTGTAGGGAGCATTCGATCCCTTCGGAGTCATTGATACCGCCTAAAAGGTCAACAGAGATTAGCGCGCCACCGGGCGCGTGAACTCTTTTGCTATTTTGTTCCTTCAGCATATTTTTTCCTCGACAAATAGTGGAGCTGTCTGCGTGGGCGGGGAAAGGGAGCAAGTATTTATTTTTGGCAAGGAGATTCACTCTCCTCGATGAATTCAATAGCCCCACTCTAAAGATATAATATCGAGATGGTGCGCAAACCGACCGCCTTTAAGTTCGACATACCTACCTACCTAACCTGAATGCGCAAAATGCATATGTGGCTGGCAGGAAGATCAAAGAATCGCCTTTCGCATGAAGATGAGGTTGAAAATGAACTCGTCAAAACCCGCACATTCTTCATAAGCCACGTTTGAAGGTCAAGTGTGTAGTTCATTATTGCAAGATAGAGCCCATATATGTAACATTGCGATAAAGAACTGCCCGAACAGACAATAATAATACAATTGATGCGTAATACTCTGACATTTGCCTTTCAAGTAGATGATTGGATTGATCAGAAACTTCTCATATTCAAGGATATGATTGTAAAGTTATGTAACTTAGTGTTGAGCAATAGAACCGAAATTTCATGGTACGCATAACATCAGTGAACATGAATGGATTATCAGGTTCTTCCTCATCAGCAACAATGCGGTCTTGTTCGTATTCGCTGCTGTTCTTTTCCTTTTAGATGACAAATTCTTCTCTCTATCTTTACAGCTGAAAGTTGACGATATTTGGGTTTGCAAGAATCGTATTGGGAAGTGATTGTTTTAGTTGCTTCAAAAGTTCTATTTATTAGACGGATGGGTGATATGATTATTGTGTGAACGTAGGTGAATGACTTCAATTCAATGGCCACTGTACTGAATGAATCTAAGCGAATGCGAAAGAGACTAGCTCTTTCTTTAGTACCTATATAAGGCCTACTATCTTCTATACATATCTAGCTCTCTAGATAGAATACAATATAAACATTTAGGACCTACGAATAAGTGGGTAGGTACTACGTCTTCCGCATCCTTCTCAAACCAACAATTATCTATCACGTTGTTATATTGTTGTTGTTATCTTGAAAACTATTATTCCTAATGTGCGTACCGCGTTGTGTATATGTTATAATGAAGTGCTTACTATCTTTTGGTTAGTAGATATTCTTAGCAAAGTCATTCCTGTTTAGCTTTAACCCCTTCTGTATTCTGATGGTAGAGTAAAACGAGATCTAGAGGGAGGGGGTAGAGAATATAGAAGGAGGAGAGAAGATAAAAAATGAGATGAAAAAGGAGGGGAGATGAGAGAGGGGATAAGTTTTTTTAATAAGTTTTTTTAATAAGTTTTTTTAATAAGTTTTTTTAATAAGTTTTTTTAATAAGTTTTTTTAATAAGTTTTTTTAATAAGTTTTTTTAATAAGTTTTTTTAATAAGTTTTTTTAATAAGTTTTTTTAATAAGTTTTTTTAATAAGTTTTTTTAATAAGTTTTTTTAATAAGTTTTTTTAATAAGTTTTTATATAGAAAAACAAATCTAATTCTAAATAAAAATAAAGACTATTCTTCTAAAGTCTATAGGATTAGTTTTAGTAATTATCTCAAGTTAAATAGAGAAGAGATATATTCATTCATTTAGGGCTTTCTAGTATATAAGAACTACAATAGATACTTAAAAACGATAATGAAAATTATAACAAGTACTACTAGTAAAAACTTATATGCGGTGATGACAACGATGATAAAGTTTTTTCTTCCCCAGTCACTTTCCCGAGCATCTCTTTCAAACAAAAGAGGAGCTACTCCTTATGCAGGATTCCGCGAACTCACCTCCAATACCATTGTCTCTCCGTCCGTGAAAGTTAGTATGTCTAATCAACCCTAAGATTATGGAATAATACAAATTTTATACCCTCCTAGATATAAATCAATTCTAGATAGTAAGTGAAAGAGATATCGCACCCCTTCTCACCTAATCTTTTCTCCTTTCTCCCTTCTCAATCATCATTTATCGAACCCTCTCACACCAAGACTAAATCCATCCGAATATAAAATACCACATCCTCACCTCCAAAAGAAGTCTTCCCTATATTACTCTTGAGACACACAGGAACGATCGAATGGTAAAAGATTTCAACTTCCGCCACAAAAAAACACAAGCTCGTTCCTGTGATTACTGTGCTTATAAGTTAAGGAGTTGAGGGTATATTCATGTGAGTTATTGGAAACAGAGGAAGTGTTAAGAGATCATGACAATCAAGTTGGGAACAACGACAACAGGAAATCTATGTAAGAATGATGAGAGTACGTGAGAAGTGATGATACAAATTCCCTTTTGGCTTTCTTGCATACGGACATCAAGAGAAAAGCAGATGGATGGAATAGAAACCAGGTTTGAAATCTTGGGGATAATATATGATTCCTACTCTAAGCTACTGAGCAAATGTCGTGCAGCATAACATTTTAATGCTCATAAGAGGAGATATGTGATATTCATAGCGCATTATATCACAGAAGAGAAAGAAACAATGGGGCTCGGGGTGGTAGAAGATACGTCAGATTGCCCCTCTCATTTTATCTCCCTCTCCCCAGGTTTTGAATATCACACTTACTAAGAATTATACAACACAGGCTTCCAATATCTCCCCAGCTGAGTGAAGTACATTGAAGAATCTGAAGATCATTCATCTTCGAGGACTGTAGATCTCGTTAGCTGCAACAAAAAGATAGATTCATATCGGCGAGCCTGTGGTGGTTTGGAAGATATAGTGAGATAGTGAAATGATATAACTAGTATGAAAATACTGACAATAATGATGATAAAGTAATGATAATCGCTAATAACAGCAATGATTCAAAACTCAACACTGTGATATAAAATCACTGTCACTACCAGTCAGTAGGTATCTATTAGTATATATTTACTCATCTTTTATTATCTTCTCCTCTATTCTCTATCTCTATCACCCACCCTGCTGAATCCCCCGAGATACAAAAACAACAACAACAACAATAATGGAATCATTATTATCAGTTACCCACAATCGGCCAGACTTCAATTCTCCCCAAACCCCCCAAAAAGCTGCCATATAGGATAGAAACTCCATTCTTAATCAAAATAACAATCTAGAATTACCCCAGCAAAACCCCCTCTATCCCCATCAACATCTCCCGATTCAAATATTCCCCAGGTCTGCTGACTTTGTTAATTCATAATCAGAACTCCGAAGAAGAGGGTTCTATAACAAAATAAGATTAACAACTTTATTTCACGTCCATCTCTATCCCTCACATTTCATCTCATCCTCCTTCTTGCAAGCTCTCCGCATAAGTTTCCCATCAAACGTGATACCTAGTATAAATATAAGAAATCCTTAGATTTCTCTACCACATCAAATCCAGTTAGTTAGTTAGTGCAAACCAGGGTATCAGGAAGGAATTATATGAGGAATAGCATGGATGGATATAGATGGATGGATATAGATGGATGGATATAGATATAGATACAAAGCGATAGATAGATAGATAGATTTCCATGGATGTAGTTTCGAACTGTGGAGGGGAGAGGAGAGGATATGTGGAGAAGAGGATATAATATTGATAGATCGAAAGAATGCGGAATGAATAGGTAAAGAATAAATTAGTAAAAGATATCGATATCAATATTCCTACATATCAACCCCCCCAAAATAGTAAAGTAATCTATCTACCAGCGAAACCCCAAAAATGTATTCAATAAGAAAAATAATAATGACTCGAATCAACCCTGCTCGAAAAACATATTGAGTATCTCGATTCCCTACGTTCATGATTGGCTAGGTAGCTAAATCTAACTACATCTTTCATCTTTAGATACCTACTTCCTCATAAGCAGCACAGTATAGACTACCGACTCAATACTCAACTCAGTACATACTATATCAATTTTCTTAACAGACCTCGGGATAATAGATCATTGAAAAAAAATCTCCGAGTTTGAATTAGGAAATCAATATTGTTTCCTCGGTCAAATATATACAGTACATACCACAGTATATATCTCCGAGAATCTCAGAAGAACACATATCACGAGCTAAAAGTGAACAACAGAACAGGTCCTTATCATTGCAGACTCGGGGGGGGGGAATAGAGGTTTATTATTTTTCCCTCTTTACTTCATTCATTTAGATACGTTTAGGTGTATTGTATTGTATTAGTTATAGATAGATTGAATTGATTCGGAATTTACTATACTACTACTACTACTACTACTACTACTAATATCCGAGAATCGAAGATCGAGGTAGAATGATGAGTTGCGCGATGGTACCTAGGTAAGGATGATGAAGTATGTAATAACCAGCCTCGCGAGAAGACTCATGATGAAGAGGAAGATGAAGTGTTTATCCCTCTTACGTTTGATCTTGATATTTGTATATATCTGATCTGATGGGGGCATGGTATGATGTGATATCTCCTCCCTTACAAGCAAGAAGTGCATCCAACTCACAAATATCAACCAATCATTAATGACCAAATACCAGCTCTCAATAAAGATAGAAATCTAGATTCTCAACAAAACAAAACAAAACTCATCCCATCTCATCCCATCCCATCAAATACAAAACACATCACAAACTCAACCCCGCAATGCAGAATAATTACAGAAGGCCAGAACCTAGAATCCCTCGATCCAGCCCCCCATCCCATCCGAGACTCGCTAATCTCGCCTCTCAAACAACCCCCCTTCATTCCTTCCAGCCCCGCCATTTTCTCCAACTCGCCACGAATGTTAGTCCGCGCAGTCTGCGCAATTGAACCAAAAAAAATAAAAATTGATTAAGTTATTTATATGGTCTTTCGTCGAAAAAATAGTTACTTTGTCAAATTCGTCTCTAGCCACAAAGCCGCCACATCACAAAAGTCCTGCAATGCAATTCTGGAACAGCTGTCTAGGTAGGTGGGGCGAAACAACCCCAGATTTTCTTTAATACATCGTCATGCAGGAAGGTAAACTAGAAATGGATAATGTAAGCCCAAAATGGGAATGGAGGATTGGAGTTGAAGGATTAGATTGCACTAGTTTTTCTTTCTTCTTCGAAAATGGGAGAACTATTTTTTTTCACCACCCATAGCTCATCTTATGCAGTATTATTTATCTCAACAAGTTTTTCTTCTTTTATCAGATGCGAATTTGATCAGAATGCGACCCTCTAATTCCAAATTCGCATCAGGAATTTTCAACATTCGGTACACTCAATGCAACCCATCGGCTCGGCAATCAAACATATACCAAAGCCCGTAACCGAACCAGGAGGGGTTGCATTTGCAGAACGCATGAGCCTTGCGGTTATGCACATGAAATGATGGATTTTTGTTACTAAAATTGTGTGTATGTATTTGTATATGCAATTTGAAAGCTGAAGGAAAGTAATATCATATCATGCATGAAATTTTCTTTCAGGAAGGAGAGTAAATTGATAACTTTGATCATAAAACTTCCCCTCCAAAAAAGCGAAAAAAAAAAACACAGACTCGACGCAATATCGCATGATAAAAAAAAGCTCAGATTCCCATGTGCACACCGTTAATGTGGAGGTCGAGCCTTGTCCATCCTGCATCACACCAGCCAGCGCGCAACCCCAACACCAAACCAGCAGCAAAGAAAAATCAGAGCTTCGCGAGCTTACCGCGCCTTACCGCTCTTTGCCCACTTACTGTTTTGAGATGGTTACAGGCTTTTTGATAGGAATTCGACAGGGCTAGCTGGAGGGTACAGGGCTAGCTATACACTTGTACAGGCCCAGTTACAGGCTGACAGGGCTAGAAAGAGCAGAAAGTGATCCACGCCTCATGGTTACATTTTACCGGTACACTTACTGGCTTTTACTTTGTCTATTTTTTTCTTTCTCCAAACGATGAACAGATATTTCCCCTCGTTTTGAATTCCTCATTATGCCATTCGATATCTGCGCGAAGACCAAGAACAACAAGAACGCGTAGGTAAAAAGTTGAATGAGTAATGCAGAGAAGATGTGAAAGACGTTACCGTATCTGGATCATGCTGCAGAACAGTGAATCGTAACTGCAGATTTTTGATTTCTTTCGTATATCGTACAGGAATTGGTTTGCCAGTGTCGAATAGGAAAAAACGAAAGGGGTTTTGTACAACGAGTGGTGCGTGGGTAGATGCATGTATCGTACATCACAGCCGTATTTTGTGTACTTGTTCAGTGATGGATCTGGGTAAATAGTGAATACGAAAGCATATGGATTAGGAGAATAAAATATGATGAAAACACAGATACAAGCAGATATGGTAACAGTACAACCTGTCCATACTGTCTGTACATTGTTGGAAGAAAGTTTCGAGAAGAAGACAAGATTCAGCCCCCAATATATTCTGCCCCCAAATATCTTCAAGCGGTGAGGACAACATGATTGTGAATGATGATTGGTCTAAAGGAAGAACATGTCGTAAGCGTTAAAAGAATAAATTGAATAAATGCTGGCATGCATATATGATGCAGTAATGCAAGAAATATGCAACATATATTATATTATGCATGTATCAATTCTCCAGTGCATACCTCCCATGGCAGTTTTCCCTTGTGAAATCCTTGGGTGTGGATTCAGATTGGGTTGTCAGATTGACGTTGGATTTCTATTTGCTGATAGTGAAGACTGGAGAATGCCTGAAAACTTAAAACCGATTCAGGGGGATGATTCACTGCCTTAACAGAAATGATTATCGGCGGAGGATTGAAGACCGTTTTTTTTCTGTTTTTTTTTGCTCAAGGTGTGATGTGATGTCGAGGATGTGTGACATGTCAACAATGCAATCATAGCAAAGATGGGGAGATGATCAATGGGACGGGGATGAGGATAAATGTTGATCTGTGAGATATAGATGGGAATGATGTAGATGATGAGATCAGAGCCCCCTCCCCCTCTAAAAAGCTTGGGATTCAAGAAGATACTGTAATGATGGAGAGCTCGGGTCGCGATGATGTAGATGAAAAGCATGGAATTCCTTCGATCCCCCAGATCCAGATCCAGGTTCAGGATTCCCAGGTAAAGAACTCCCACTCCCAGTCGAAATGATACGATGATGGCCCGAAGGATTCCAATGAATTCTCATTCAAAAGATAAGATGCAACAGGATAAGATTTACTCGATAATCAAGACCATCAAATGTAGCCGCATGGTCATCCTCACATCTCACATTCCCCATCAGCAATCAATCAATCAATCAATCAATCAATCAATCAATCAATCAATCAATCAATCAATCTCATGTATAATAGGAATGACGCGTAACAGATCCGAACCAGTGGGAGAATGAACTTTGAGTCAGTTTACCAGGTTCGCGAATGAAAGATTAGATATCTTCTTGTCTTTCCAACCATTTGTCTTGTTCTCGCGGGGAAAGGCTGCTAAGTATACTAGGTATCATGTTCCAGGAAGATGTCGAGATTAGATTGAGAAGACGATTGGATTAGCTTGGGATGGACACTGGGCACTGAGCAGTAAGTGAATCAATCCGTCGTGATTTTTACTTTACGCCCAGCGTGCGAAGAAATGCACAATGACAGCCTCGTCCAAGCGTAAGTTTCTTTTCTGCCAGCCGCCAAATCCCAATGTCTCCTGGATTGGTCGATCTTTTGAGAACGATATTGCAAAAAAAAAGAGGGTGGTGGTGGGTGGGATGTGGGGAATTATGCATGTAAAGCTGTGTCACTATACAGATTAATATGGTGCAGCTCGATCTCTCTTGATTCTTGGATGTTTTCATAGATGATGAACGTTGATAGGTATGATTTTGCGAATGTACGATGTATAGTCTGATTATTGGATGCAACTGTACATTTTCTCGTCTGACACATTACTCGTGTTGGCCAATAAATGCCGAATTTTGATTTTGATGATGGGCGGGAAGAGATGGATAAGGATTTCGTATGGGATGGTAATCTCTTACTGACTGGCCAGACGGTGGTACTGGCCATTTTGAACAAGGGGAGATGGAAAAGGTTGTCGTCTCATCCAAATCTGATGATTTTCTGGGAAAGGAGAGGTAGGTACCTAGGTAGGTCCACGGTCTCCATGATACCGTAATTATTTCAATTGGGAAACATCCGAGTCCAAACAGAGAAATGAATTCTTGTGAATAATAGATTGAATATAAGAGGAGACTTGAGGACCCCGAAATTTGAATATCAATAATTCCATCGTTCCAGCGTATCCTTGAATGAAATCGAATCTCCTTTTCCATTCCTCTCGTGAGTCTCATCCGTCTTCACTCCGAAAAATTCTAGAAGCCAGAGAAAATCAATGCTAGCTGCACCTCAAGACGGTATACTGGGATAATGTAGTACCGTGGTCCGTAAGACCGCAGCACGCTGGAAAAAGTTGTGGACCATTCGGAAGCGTTCGTGATGAAACTAATCATAAGCTAAACCGAAATCAATGTTTGAAGATTTTTTGGGCAAAACATGTGGATGTTCATTGGTCTGTTTGAAGATGGTGGATTGAGAATTGGAGAGTTTCAAGGTTGACGAGACGACGAGACGACGGCTTGACGAATGATATACAAGCAGCTTCGGGCTTTAAAAAGGTTCCTTGTCACGAACATGGATCTAGCTTTCAGTTATGGAGCTTGACGTTATGGAAATATCATTTTCGGTATGTGGTAGCATGCACCTTTGTGCGAATCTTTCCAAGTGAGTCTCAGAGTGAAGCAATGATTTTGGGATGGTTTGATCGGACGTGTTTTGAATGTTTGAATATGTACTTCATATGTGCATCGGTATTCAAATGGAAATTTTGTACTATTTTAGATGGTCTAAGTGAAACCATCCGTTGCTTATGGCAACTCTTTTCTAGATGCAGTTCATACATACTTCTTACTCAAGTCAAGTTAACAGAATCTAGATACCGAAATAGATAGCTCAGGAGCTACATCATAATCACCCAATCCCCTAGCGATAATCCAAAAAAGAAAGGTTCATGTTGATACTGCAGTCTGCACGGAAGTACCTCGTACTTAGATACCTAGGTAATACCGGTAATATCATTAATGTCATAACGCTGACCTTTACATATTAATAAAAAGAAGACTTTACGGTTACCTACTCTTTACTTCGTAGTCCTTTGGCTAGTCCTTAGTCTTTGCGTTTAGTTAGTCGAGTAGTTTCGGCAAGAAGACAAAGTGATCGATCACCCTCTCTCAAAAGTTAAAAAAGACCAGTCTCATTCAAGTTTGAACTTGCGGGGCAATTCTTCAGACCCTCTTTTCTCTCTCAAGGAAAATCCCCTCTCTGGCCCCTCCAACATCATCTAAACTGACCACCTAGCCACGAGCCAAGTCTCCATAAATAATATATAAGACTCGACAGAATCGACAGAATCGACACTCGACAGATGAGTCTATGGAGTCGGATGGAATTCGCGACTCATGTGGATATGGCCCAACACTTCAGCCACTCATACCTTCTCCTTTTGCACTTTATTGAGGTTATTTCGAGAATTCCACTCACTCCACCAGACCCTGCATTGAAAAAATTCGGTAAGAAATTCGTTTAGGAAAGCGTCATCCTTGATGAATGATGGAACTTTTCGGCATATCTTTCTATCCCAGGTTTTCCCAACAGATGAAGTTGTCAACCATCCATCCTGTTCTACCGGTGATTCCGTATTTGTACGAAATGTTGACACTTGAGATTTGAGGGATAAGGTATGTCATTGAGTTTTGACTTTATTGAGAAGATTATCAGTTGTGAGTGAAAGCCTCTCTCCTCTTTTGGGGGAGTTAGTTCTAAACTCAAATGATGGGGTATCTCCAGAGTCCAAATACCTAGGTAACTATAAGATTCTAAATGTAGTTGAAAAGGGCGAGTATTTACTCCTCGTTTGACGAATTAGCTTTGAATCTTCAATTATGATATCGATTTTGCCATCTCTGACCCCCTAGACTTCCTAGATTGGATAAATAGTTGATGGTCTGGGATTTGATTCATTGAATGCCTCCTTAGATATGAATTAAGTGTAACGAACTAGGTTTATGTTAGACACGACGATGGATGATCTCTAAACTTTCTACTTTTGGTCTACGAAGTACTTGAGTAGATTCTCTTGTCTAAATCATAACTAGGTAAGATAATGTCTTCATAATCGGGAAAGCGCCGGGGGAAAGAACGCTTACGTCTCTCTCATGTGTTGTAGGGAATGAATGCATAGTTTATCTCTCATCTATTCTAAGATTCAGAACAACTCATCCATAGATCCTCGGACATACATCTATTGATACATCCATTGACACATCTGTTATAAACATCCCTTATTTATTATATAAATATCTACCATTACTATTACTAGCAACAATCTTCCTATTTTGAAACAACACTCGGACTTTTCCATTTATTCATTAGGGGAATATCATTATTGAATTTCGATCAGAAATCCCCGTTGGTGAAGTAACGATACACCAACCAAGTCGGATTCTCATTATTCGATTTGAAGTTCTACATGAAGGACTGCTTTCTATCATAGAAATCTATACTCAATACATCATCAACTTACTTATTAGGTCTCATCAGAAGATTGAATTCTTACCAAAGATCTATTTACATTTATCCATTTATCTATTTGTCTATCTATCTATCTATCTATCTATCCACCCATCTACCCATCTATCCATCTATCCATCCACCTAGAGCTACCTCAGCCTACCTACCAATCTACCAAGCTTCCCTTTTACAGAATATCTATCTGGCATACGGAGGGAGTACGATAATAAGACGATTCATCACCCCCTGGCCCATACCAATCGCCTCCCTTGCCGCCATCAAGAGACCCGTTTCTCTATACCCAAGCAGCCACCAATCAATTCCGCCCTCAATTCCAAAAAGTGGACGAGAGGAGAAAAGAAAGAAAAAAAGATTAAAAAATTAAAAAAACAAAAAAATTAATACCAACCTGGAATCCCCCAGTCTTGCCCTTGGTGTAAAAAATCACCCATCCACGCCATCTGCTGCATTCCGAAAGACCTTGTACCCAATTAAAAACGATATAATCAATTAACCCGTTGTTACGAAGATCATATTGCAGGAACAACAAACCTTAGACCCCTTCTCCGTCAGATTTCCCGCGTCGCAAAACTAATTTGTTCCTCCCACCCTCCTCTATTCAACCAACTCCTAGATAGACGATCAACTCAAGACTCAAGACTCAAGACTCAAGAATCATACACTCAACAACAATTGCTCACATTTCTCTCTCATCGTCTTACTCTTCACATTAAATTCTCTCGTCATCACAATCACCATCACCTTTTAAACGTTGCTTCATTTTATAAATCATTAATCATGGGCTATGAAACTCGCGGAAGACAATTGAATTGGGGAGTGATCGGTATAAACTTACCACAAACTCACGCAGAGAAAGCGGCCGCTCGACTTTCACCGCCTTCCATAGCGACGTCGACATCAGAACAGCAACTTTCGAAGAAACGATCACGTCGAAGTTCTTTCTCACTGTCGCCTCCACCAAAACGAAAGAATTATACAATTCCAGAAGACATAAGTACCCCGCCACTTTCACCACCAGCCGATGATAGCTCTTTTGAAATTCACAATGTGGGAATAAAAGATGAGGCGAAAGAGAAGAAAATAGACGTTAGTGAAATCAAAATTGAAGAGGGCGAAGAAAGCAAATTCACAGTCAACGGGGGCGAGGAGAAGGAAGAAATCGAAGAAATCGACTTGAAGGAAGTAAAGGACGAAATTGTGGAAGGAGTTATTGTTCAATTACAAAAAACTCGCAATAGACCTCATTTGGTCAAGGAACTTGCAGCTATTTTGTCTCCAACCGTTAAAATCGTGGAACAGTAAGTTCACAATCTTTCCGATTCATTCCGTTATCTCTCGACACCATGAAACTAATAAAAAGTCTAGATCTGCCAATCCATGTGCAATCATTTCCTCTCGATTATCCAACTATCTAAAACGACCATGGACCGCATCATCACCATGTCCAGTGGGAAAAGAGTTGGAAACTGTGCATCCAAGAAGAACATACTTTTATTTGACTACTTACTCGCATCAACCATTTCCTGATCCTGCACAATTAGCTCAACGTTCGATCATCACCCCATCCATTTCAAGCGCAGATTCGACCGATGAACCAGATCGAAATCGTGATGATTCACCTGAAGTCGATTTGTCTTCCGAGGAATACGATGATGATGATTCAATCACACCACCAACTCCCACTGGTTCCTTTGCCGGTCGTTTCGAACGTCCCGTGAGGAATAATCGTGCTGCATCGGTTGGTCTTGAGAAAGATGAGAAAGAATTCACACAAACAGCTCGTGGAATGCAAAAACGAAGATTTAGCGGCGAGCCACCATCATCATCTTTGGCGAAACCATCTGATATGAACGATATGCCTTCAAATGTTTCAGATACCCCGATGAAATCTGTGGAATCTGACCCATTTTTTGGAGAAAGCCGAGGTGGTTTAAATGCATCGTTGTTAAATACGCCGGGTTTTATGAATAGCCCCGCTATGAAACCTGTTTTTGCATCGAAAAAATCATGGGATGCAACTGTGGAAACTTCTCAAGCGAATTGGGCGCCAGCGAAGATTGAAACATTAGATTGGGATACGAGAAGTCCGGAAAACATCGAATTAGATGAATTAGATGGCATGCTTGATGGATTTTAGATTCTCAATCTTTTCCTTCTTTTTTATGATTATACGCACACGAAAGATTCTACCAGTGTTGAATCAGGAATCTTTGATTCCATTGTACAAATATTTTTCTACTTACCACTTGAGATTTCTGTTGGGAGAGATGTACGATTTTTTATTGTTAAAAGAGATGGAAAGATGGATGGATGAATGGACTGGAAAATGCGAATACAAAAGGAAAGACAAAACAAAACCGGTCCTGGGGATTAGGATATTTTGGAGGTACTCTCGTTTTCTCTACATGAGATATTATTTGTTTGAAGTCAGGTTTTTCTGCGATGGTGTTTAGGATGGTGGATTTTTTTATATTTTTTTGGAGTGCGTCATGTTTCAGCCTCTTCTCTTTCCTTTTTTTTTTGTAAACAATAAATTTCATGACCCGAGATGATTGGAGATGGATGGATTTGGGATATGATATGATCATGTAGTCGTAAGATCATTAGGTTGGGAAGGGGGACTTGGGAATGGAGGATGTGAAATGATCGTGACATCGAGTTGAGCGGTCCGGTCATACACTTTCGGTCATAAATCGTATGATTCAGATGAATATGGGCGAATACGAATTTTCGACGGATATAAATATTTCCTCTGGATGAAATCAATTTCTTTACAATGAGAAAATTTAAGTTGGGATGGAAAATAATATATTAGGATATTATATTATATATATACACATCTACATATACTCGAGTACACACACACACACACACACACATATATATATATATATATATAGATGAAGAATATGAAACATCTCTCCACCTACCTAGATTTTGGTCTTTGATATGCATGCATATGGTTGGCTGATTGTGATGAGTTTTGGGTGAAGATGAGGAAGTGAAGGATGGAGTGAGTGGTGGTGGGTATTGGAGATGGTGGTGGTCTTGTGGTTTGGGTAGGTATGTATCTGGGACTTTTATTGCCAAATTTCTCAATTTTTGATAATAAATTTCTGGTACCTGATTCCTGATTTCATATGTATGTATGTATGTTTGTTTCGCACTTTATTTCTATTTCTATTTCTATTTTCGGTTTTGGTTTTGGTTTTATTTCATTTATTTGGGCATTTTTGAGGTGGGGAGGGGCGGGAGGAATCGAGGGAGGGGGGGCATATATGTGATAATCGCGGATATTTAGGTACTGTTGGTAGTTCTGATTTGGGAGGGGTTTGAGGAATAGAGGATGGAGGGGGGTAGAAAGTGGAAGGGAAGTTATTCCTTATTTTGGATGGATAGATGGGCTCCGGATCTCCGGAACTCCTTGTGGGTTTTGCTTTTGGATTTGAATCTGGGTTTGGATTTGTGGTGGGAGAGAGGCGCGTGAATGGGGATGGATGGATGGGATAGTGCGTTGTATTGCGTTGTATTGCGTCGTATTGTATTTTAGTGCAGTGCAGGGTAGGGAAGGGAGGGAAGGTAGGTAGGGCAGAGTTGTTTCTCGCGGATGCCTTTTAGATGCTTACGGAGGGAAAGGAGTAGGAAGTCAAGAGGTGGAGTATGAACGAGCTGTGGTTTAGGGGTGGCGAGAAGAATGGCGAGAGAGAGTAGATGGCAAGTGGCGAGGAAGGTAAGGTGCAGCGGGATAGAGTTTCTGGATTGTGAGACTGGTGGATGTGTTGAAAAATGGAGGTGCTGAAATGAAAGCTTGGGATGAAATAAAGGGAAATGGATAATAGATAGTGGAAGTCGTTATTTGGGTGAGAGTGTGTGAGTTGAGGGTTGAGATTGGGGCTAGGAAGGAAGTAGATTTGTTGGTGTTGATATTAGTGATAGAGATTTTGTTGGTAAATGTTGTTGATGATGAGTGTTGTCGGTGATAGTGCACTTACTGGTGTGTATATTCTGGTGAGTAAGTACTTTCCATTGTATCATTTTGATTTTCAGGTCATAATTTCTGTTATTGTTATCATTGTTTTCGATGGAAATTTCCCCCTCTTTGAAAATTGGCGAGGATTAGATTGGTGTTAAGAAAAGACTCATGGAATGGAGAGGTGCTCTGCCTGTTAGTTGAGGATACACCTGGCACAATCTCTTTGCTCAATAAATACCTCCCGTTCATTCTTTGTTTGGGAAGATTGGATGATAGGGAGAGAAGTTATTTATGTAAATATACGGGGTTGTTGAGTAGGTGTGTGAGAGAGGGAGGGGAAAAGCGGGAATGGTGAGGTAATAGGTGTGAATCATGCAAGCTATATGACTGACATGACGCCATCAGCAGAGGTATCTTGTAAATTGAGGAGTCACGAGTGTGGATGTATAATTGTTATCCGAAGAAGGTTGGCGTGAATTTGTAAGTGCGAGTTCTGAAGAGGCGGCGAGAAGGATGAGATGCCGGGGCATGATTGTGCCTTTCATTCTATACTGTCTTTATAGATCTCGCCAAGAGATCTATGTAGATGTAGTGGAGGAATTAGAATGGTGATTCATGCGAGCTAGATGGTTAACTTATGGTCAAGGCTCTTGGGGGAGGATAATTTGGCTGATTGGTGGGGTGAATGAGTAAGAGAGATGGAAGGGAAGTATTATTGTTGTTTACTTTGTCTTTTCATTACCGATGATATTTCTATTGTCATCTCTAAGTATCGCTATCATTCCTCTCCTTCTAAATCTTCCTCATATACTTCCGTATATCTTCTCACCCAAATCTATTTTCCCATGCTCCTGAAGCCCGTCGCATAACCAGCTTTGCGCTTGATCTTACTTGATCCGAAGTCCAGCCTTACTCGATTTAGAACTGCTGTGCCGATATCTTTAATGAAAACAAAAGAGATTATTTGTTGTTTATATATCCATAGCTCTACTGCTTAAGAAACGGTGGTAGGGTATGTGGGAGGCGATGGTACATACCGGGGGCAAAGCAAGCAACAATTTAGGGGATCAATGTAAGCTGTTTTGACGAATCCGAATATGCTTGCCAAGCTTTGAGTGTCCCTTTCGAAAGAATGAGAAACATCAATGATAGGTTATTTAAGTCCTACAACTCATCTCTCATATACCCACCAATGAAAAAGGGTTAAAACGGAGATGATCCCACCTTATGGCTGAACGAGTGGTGACTCTTCTATGGCCATGTACAAATATGAGGCTGCATCTAAGAAGCCTTGTGTACAAATCAACAAGAGGAATACTACAATATGGGAGAGATAAGGTATATTTTCATTGTCCCTCAATATCTTCGCTGTTATCAAAATCATTATGATTGAATTTCCGCCATCCATTTCTCGAGAGGCAACAAAATCTTTGAATTTATGAATTCTCAATTCTTACTCACCAAACTGAATTGATTGAGTGTGAGGGGGAGATGGTGGTCTCTCTCAACTTTGAACCATTTCTTTTTCTTCATTATTGAATTGAAATATTTAATAGGCAAGACAATGCGGAAGAGCATATTTATATATTCCACGTTGAGGAGTCCTTGATACTAAAAGGAGAAGAGCCAAAACAGACAAAATAAAGACTGATACAATCTGGAACAAATTCCGAAGACAGAAAGAACTAAGCTCTCTCACAGAAGGCATAGGTAGCGGATGAAGAAACAAGTATTGATGATGGGTTATAAAAAGCCCACGCCATTCCTAATTTATATCGTAAAGAAATAGCTTGCACTGCTTCAGGACGCAGAGAAATGCGTACCTGGCTAGAGTTGTGGCTATGTAGATTTGTGGTGATGAATTTGCAGATGTGATGTTTGGAAGATGATGGTGGTAGCAAGAAAAGAAATGGACGCAGAAGTTAGATATATATGAATATTGTCGTATTCTTGCTCATCTCCATCTGTTCATTCACTGTTGTTGCTATCACGATTATTGTCAATCTTCTTTTGCACCAAGTTTCCTACATAGAGACCTCGGAGATCTCGCAACTGCTTTTCCAATGTCTCATCGGCTATCTGTGAAATCGAATATGAAGTTTGAGTTCAGAGGTTCCGAAACTAGACTATCCCACATGAAATTTTTTGGAAGTTGTAGTGTATTAATTCTTTGTATAAAAAAAGATGGGAAGGATATGGAAGCGCTTATATACTGAATGATTGAAGAGTCTTTACTGGTTGAATACTTTTGTGGGCTGAGAGGGGATGTGAGTGAATGAAACGAACGGCCTGTTGAAACCATGGTTGGACGGAGTAATGATTGGGGAATTCAATAACGGGTCTCGAACTGCGAGTCTCTAGCAATACGAGTGGTAACACCAGAAGCTAAATGTTTCCCTTCCTCCATAGTAGCAGATAGGTAAGGCAGTTGCTCGAGTTGCGTCCACGTTACATTGTCAGGAAGTGATTTGAGATCTTTCCGAAGTTTGGCGAGGACAGCGGGATTGGCAATGAGATGGTAAAACACAATGCTGAGCGTTTTTGCGGGAGATTCAGTAGCCGCAAGGACAAGTAGTGTACCTTCATTTTGAAGGCGTAGTAGTGATTTTTCGGATTCGGGTAAACTGGTGTTATTCAAGATAGAATCATATACCAACTCTTTCCTGTCGGACCTAAGGATTTATTGGTACTCCCGGAGGCTTTTGCTTCCATGATGGAGACTAATTCAGTACGAACTCTCTGTGTAATATGTCATCAGCTACCGTGTCTGAAAATCCTTCTTTGAAGAAAGCTTACTGCAAGTAAAGCAAACATATAAACTAGCCCAGGTGGCAATAATTGGCTCGGTCATAGATTTAGGGAGCTTTAAGAGGAGGTCGGGAATCCATGACATATGTTTGTTTCTATCCACACCTCTTAATAGTTGATAAGTGTTACGTATACGACGAAGCGACGCAGCTTCTTTCTCATCCACAAGGTTGTTAACTTCATGAGCAAACAAGAAGTTCTCAGCCAAACTGCATCTGATTAACATGATGATTTGAGGTTTCGAGGAATATCGAGATTAAACTTATTAAAAAGATGCAAAGAATATATCCGAAAGATTTAACGGCGATTTATCAACAGTATGAGAAGAAATAACATCACAAAGCTGTTGAACTTTTGCAGTGATCATTGGATCGAGGTATAGAACATTGCTTCTACTAAAGAATGGAACTAAAGCTTCACGACGCTTTTTATGAACATCGAAAGATACGGTTGCACCAACGCTTCCAGGAACTCGCAATTGCTTCAAATTACGAGCATATTTATCTCATCGGGGTGATGGGGTGCGTATATTGTATCAAGTAAACCAACATCATTCACATGAATCTCACCTGGAGTAATGCGAATTATTGGACCCCTAGTTCGATAGAGTTAGCAATGATTATGCCTGTAGCATCATAATATATTTGACAATCCGAATTCTTCATGTATTCCCTTGATATGAAAAACGTATTTTCCAAGTTTTATGACATCGAAATAGAATTCGTACCACCACGTAAGCGATGCTGGTTTGGGACCAGGAATGAGTCTCAATGAATGGAAGTAAAGCCTGTAGATTGCAACTACTATCGTCGATAGTAGTGATACAAGCAGTGTTGTCTCTACGATTTTTAGTAAGACCATGATTAGGGACATACAGGATGGTAATAGCTATGAGGGGACTGCTGATCTTTAAACTTTTTCTGTTTCTTCACCTTCATGAAATTTTAAACATTGGTACTCATAATCTGTGTCATTGGTTAGTTTGGTACGAGTCTGGTACCAATTTAGGCTAGTCAGCATGTATATATGGTTGTTTGCTGCCGTAAATATGCATGTGAAGAATCCATAACATCGAATTACTTCCTTCTCCATCCAACACTGCAGAACCCATGATCCTATGATCCTATGATCCCATGATCCCATGATCCAAATCATGATATAAACACTTTCACTGAAAGAAAGCTTGTTCAATCACCCAGAGAAGAGGGTGAGCCTCAAAATCAAGACCCGAGATGGCACATGTACAACTACTTCCTTTCTGGCCAATAGACAGTGCTGGCATTCTGGTATCAAAAGTTGTGGATGATTTCGAGGCCGTAGAGGGTCATGGGGTTCAATTTTGATGGGAGACTCAACCGGATAGTGTGGGAAGATAAATAATGGCAATAGCCTATTGATATATCACCGGCTACCGAAGGATTAAGTGCAGATTGGATGTTGGTGAGATTGAAGAGAGCTTCCTCAGCATACATGGGCATAAAAATTTCCGGACTCGCGCTGTCGAATTCTAAAATAGTATCCTGTAAGCTGGCGAAAATACAGCTATTGATGGCGATACCATGAAAAGTAGTTCATTCCCAAATAATCAGAACTTTTTCCAAGTCGTTTTCGTCGACCAAATCGGCATTGAAGGCGTAGAGAGTCAAAGAACAAATACTTTTTGTGGAGAGAACGAGTTTAAAGCGAGCCTTTGGGACGAAACTTCGATGTGGAAATAAGTTGTGCAATTGATACCACTAAGCGAGGAGTCCCCGAATTCGACGATGCCATTGTGCGGGTAGATAGAAGTGGAAGTGGTATTAGAGGTAGATAGAATGATGCCAATAGTTTGACTGTAGATATTGAGCGATTGGAAGAGGTTTGTGTCGTTCTAAAGGGAGCTGGTTATTTGGGAGGGTTGAGAAATCTATAATTTCTAGTTTAAATTGTTTGTTGAGATAAAATCAGTTTCACTTGAACTTACAGATGATGTATTATTAGTGACAACTCTATGGGTCACATCGAATGTCTTCCCGAAGTTCTCAAATGCTGAAATGGTGTTGTGTAATTCTGGGTTAGAAACTAGGTCAGCGAAACCAGTGTCAATGAGAACTTCAACTGATATTCTAATTCCTAAGGCGCCGATCATTAGGTTTGCAAACCAGAATGCTCGGAAAGCATTAATTGTACAGTGAGAGAAAAGAAAACCACAATATTGGAGCACTAACCTCGTCATAAGTCACAGGGCCAGTGACTCGTGTCTGTCTTTTGTGCAATCGGGCTCTCATAGACCTTGGGTTGGAAACTTGGACAGAGGAAATGAGTGCTAAAGCATTAATACAGGCTCCAGTTAATGATTTTGGTAGTCGAAGTATACACGTAAGGATATCGAGAAGGTTTATGAGAGAGGAATTGAGAAGTTCCTGGGAAGATGAGATGGGAAAGTGACAGGCATACAATAATGAACAGAATAATACATCGACATGTAACAGACACCAATCTTTCAGTATCTCACCCAAGATACCAAATTGATTCAACTCTTTCCTCAGAATGAAGACTTAGTTACGGACAACTGAGCCAGCCCGATGATAGTCCTCATACTAATGAATGGCATGGGGATCTCGGCTGACCTGATTGGGTCAATCCCTTTTTCAAATTTCACATCAAGCGGTTGAAAATGGTAACGGTGTATACATCAAAGACTTCACATAACGTGAAATACTCGGACCGAGTATTGGACCTTAAAACAAGCTCCATACCGATTTTGAATGAGCAGACGAGTAGCTAGAAGAAGCGAAGGGGCAGGGATTTTCTCGTAGACTACTAACCGCTTTTAGCCACACTAACCCCGTTCCCGTTATACCCTTAATTTTATGTGAAAAGTGGGGGTGACATATTTATGTCAACGTTTCTTGAGCAATCAACGATAATTGGTGTTCTCAGTCCAAAAAGGTGGGTAATGTCGACAACGACACGGCTTGACAGTGTTTACTAACGCCACGTCTTGTAATTGTCTTGTAAACCGTATGCGAAAAAAGAAAATGAGCTCCAGTATTATACGATTCCGATACGGTGGTAGTAAAGTCCGATCGGGTTGCATTACATGCAAGTAGGTAGTATTCTGGGCAGAAACCCTCCGGAGAATTATTTTCATTAAGCTTATTTTGTTTTAGGGCGCGGCGGGTGAAGTGTGACGAAGGCAAGCCTACATGTCAACGATGTCTCAAGGCCAAACGAACTTGCGAGGGATATGCACCTCCGTCATCCATGTCTGCCACCAGTAGTCGACCACTCAAATTCGTTGTATATTCTGCTTCATCGCCCGTTGACGCATTGAGTCTCCTACCCGGTATCACACCAAGAGAGCAAAGATTCTTTGATTTCTTTCGGCTTCGAACAGCAGTAGAGTTAACGGGACCTTTCGAAGCGGATCTTTGGTCTTCTGTTTTATTACAAACGGCTCATGCAGAATCGGCTATTTTTAATGCTGTTGTTGCCTTGGGGGCACTCCACGAGAATTTTGGGCATACAAGAGATGTTCAAGCATTGGATTCGAATTATGCCTTGATTCATTATCAGAAAGCTATCCAAAGAATAGTCAATCCAAAAGCTTTGAATATTGATATCGTTCTCATGATGTGCCTAGTTTTCTCCGCTTTTGATAATCTAAGGAACAATTATGAGGCTTCTTTAACACACATCGCTGGTGGTATAAAGATTCTTATCGAGGAAGATAAGAGACTCGGGGGACTCAAGGATGGTTCTTTGCAAAAGGATGTCTTTCTTCCTATGTTTGCTCGGTTAGAAAATCAAATTACAGAATGCGGACAAACGGCTACCGCGGCCAATACTACACGCCTGCTTCAACTGCCCACCCTTAATATACCTCATACCTTCACGACAGTAGAGGAAGCACAGAACGCATTCGATTTATACCTTTCTTATCTATGGAATATGATGGAACAATTGGGAGAAGCCAATAAACATCGTATACCTCCTCCTCCGGTGATTCAGCGTTACCACAGATATGATGGCCTTTCAAGATGGTTAGATCCATTGGATCCGTTACGAAAACATATCGATTTTTCTACATGTCAGACTCCACCAATTCATGGAGCAAATATGCGATACGGATTTTCTTCTTGGTGCGCGGCGTTCGATGCTTCCGACTTTCCACCATTCCATCCAGCAGTTCTCTTGTTACAAATGAGTCGTACGATAGTTTCAATTCTCCTCAATATCGATATAGCGATAGGTGAAATAGCTTGGGATTCTTACCTCCCTCAATATCAAATGATACTTGATTATGCCGAGATGACCTCTCCAAATAAATACATGATTAGTCCTAACCAGGGAGGAACACCTCCAACATTTCACTACCATCGCGGCTTCCTTACTCCTATCTATTTAGTTTCCACTAGATGTCGAGATCCATTAATGCGTCGTCGAGCTTTGCGCGTTCTTGAAAATTGTAATCGAAAGGAAGGAATCATAGATAGTATGATATACACTAAAATTGCCAAGAAAATGATGGAGATTGAAGAAGGAGCCGCGATTGAAGAAATGAAGAAAAAGGGCACAAGTCAAAATCTTGGTGATTGTATTATAGAAAAGGCGGAGCAGATACCGGAAAAATGCAGGATTAGAGAGTCTATCGCCAAATTTGTGCCAGGAGGAGGAGGATTGGTCGGATATAAAAGAGAAGGGATATGGCACGCGGTAGATAATGAAGAACCAGTGTCAGTTGATTGGCAAAAGTGATGGTCCTTGGGTGCTGAGCGGTGGTGAATCAGGCTAAGGGTGGCCTTGTAAATAGAAGTGGTGAAACTGGCAGTGCTGTGTACATGAAAAATAACTTAATCAAGACACTATAATCGTGAATAGACACAAAAGAATTCAGAATTTCTTCAGAAGATTTAAGCGCAATCAAAGCTTCAGACATCCATCATTGGAGGACCAAATTTAAACATTTAAACCACGAGGAGTGGTGAAGACCCTTCCTAGCCTGAAGATCGATCATGGTTTGAAGCCGCAAAACATCGCGCTCAAGGTATGCAATAGCACGCAATATGTGATATAAAAAGTGTTCAAATTACACGAAGCTCAATCTGTAAAAAGAATTCCTAAATAAGCAGGAGAACACGGGAAATAGCTGAGCCGGTAAATCGTACGACACCAAACAAAATCTTTTTGATGCAAGCTAGTATGATCGACGACAAAACTAATGATAGGGCTGTGGAACAATCTTTTAGGACGAGAACAATTATCGGTTGTAATTACCCATTATCGAGAAGATTTACACCAATTGATGATGTTGTGGTATGGATAAAAACGGAGAACGAACCGAGAAGGGAATGACCGAATTATCAGGCCAATTGTGCAGCAGTCAGCTTCGCCAAGAGCTTTTAGAAGTTCATCCGGATGAGAATTCCCCCGCAAAATGACTTCGGCTGAAAAGTGTTCCGGAAGACATGCAACAAAAAGTATTTGGAAAACAAAAAAAGTGAAGCTCGAACCGATGATCATGAAGCCAGTTATCAAGTAAGTTGATTCCTGTACTAAGTTTGCGCTTGCAAGACGTGGCAAAGGAGTATGAGGTATACAAAAACCAAGTAGTACTTAAAGCGAGTGGTTGACTATTGATTTCTGGTTCGCTTCCTCAAGATGCAAGATATCGATATGCAGCCGAAAAGCTTTGATGAATCGGTAGATGTATGAATAGCCATATTGCAGAATTCTTTCAATCACCCCGTACCTCGATTGTACCAGTTTTGGGGACTGCCTCAAGATCTCTCGTAGCCATTGATATATACCCCGCCGCCAGCAACTGTGTCCGGATAGTTATGCGTGAGGTAGAGTGCAACGTTTCTACCCACTGGCATATCTGCTATATCTGCTTCAACGTTTTTGGCGTGATTGTCGACGAGATCCGTGGGATCTGCGAAAAGAGTGGCAATGGCGGCGTTGCTGAACGGGACACACAAGGCATTGAACCGCCCGCGGGAAGAGATTTCGGGTAGAAGGATATGACAAGCAGGGAGGTTCGCAGAGCTGGATACGATATCTCATCGATGTGAGGAAGAGAATGCTCGATGGGGAAGCGATCGTATTCGAGAACCTAGAGGATTAACGGATACAAGATGAAGGGACAAAACTCATAGTCGCGACCAGGTTTGAGAGAACCGATAGGGAGGATTACAAGCCCCCCGTTACCATTCCAGGATACACCGCTATTGATAGGTACATACCTATGGATTCATATATATTTGACACAGGATTTTGAGGTAAAAGCATAACAAGCAATATTATATATAATATTGAGCCGCAATATCCGATTAATGCCGTTGACCTCAGGCGGACCGTGCCGAAAAGGCTCAATCGAATTCCTTGTATCTGGTGGAACTCATAGAACTTGTAGACTTGACAAGATTTTATTAACATAAGGGATAAACTGTTTGCAAAACTCGGCGCAATTCTTCGATGTTGTAGATTTCTTGATGATGTCGTTTCCAGGTCGTTCCATGATCACTGCAATGTCCCTAGCGTCATGGTAATTTCGATACCCCGCCCTACCTTGGCAGAAAGCTTGATTCCTCGTGCCCCCTCGAACCTCCGAAACTTCAAATCGCAGTTCACGATATTGAAGAATTCTTATGATGTAGTACTGTGCGAAGATTTTAGATTCATCTAGCACGGCTACCTTTTCAATATAAGATGTAGGTTAAGTTTGAAGTCTTTAATATGTCCACAGAACTTTTTACCTTACGGAATTGTTTTCAAGAAATCATGGAGAACAAATTTGCTAAGAATGAGATGTTTCGTTATTGGGATAGTTCTCAACAGATGTAAGATTACTTGTCATTTGTGGGATCTAGAGGATCTGCACTCATTATATCTCATGCTCTCATGCAGAGTTCAATCATCTGCTTTGGGTGTACTTTGGATCTCACAGACACCAATGCAGATAGCCTTCTGCAATGGAAGTTACGAAGACATGGTCGGCGTTTGGCGTGCTTGCCTATTTCTGTCTACATGGCTCGCTCCTTCCTCAGTTCTGGAAATTGCCCTTTATCTCTCGTTATCTCGCTCTTGAGTGGGGATGGTCAGATTTGGTCAAGCTAGTCAAGTTTGCTCCCCGCGTTACCTCTCTTTCATCTTTTCAAGGAATAATTCACACTTACTTCTGCAATTTTATGATCGGGAGAGGAGTCTGAACCCTGAATCTCTCTACTTGAATCCATTGTATGTTCGTTCACTCATACATGGTTGACTTCATTTCATGCCATCATATATTTACATCGCCGTTCCAGATAGATGTTGGTATGCGGATAACGAAGGTAAATCACACAAACCATATAACTTCTACGACAAAACTTGGGTAAAATCGTAACGAGAAGAGCCTTTGGTCGAGGGAAAAAACTCCAAGGGATCAGAGAGCTCGTATTGTTCGGAAGAAAAGGACCTAGGTGCCAATATATCGTTTCGCCATTTAAACAGAGAGGAAGAATATTCTTTCGATTCTCGTCGCATATCACAAGTCTTTTAGTATTTCCAATGCAAAGAGATCTCTGAAGAAACCCCATCAACATGAGATTTTCTTCTTCTTACACAACCGTGCTTCTTACGGTGATCTTTAGTGATACTCTAGTTCAAGGCCTCTCATCTACGGACGAATATAGAGATGCAGATCTGCAGCAAACAGGATATTTGTAGGTACTTTTCTTTCAATACACAAGAGAAGGATTCTAAATGATAATCAGGACTAATCATAACATGGATCCGGGAATTATTGACAGCTCATCATTTGGCCAGCTGTGGAAAATCGCTTTCAATTACCAAGAACAGGTTAGTAATGCCATTATTTTTTAATCCAGATCTCAAAATTGAAGGTTAAGGGTTTCTAAGATATACACACGGACAAACCAATCATCAAAAGTCTTCAAGCGTTGATTTTTTGCATGCTTTGGACTAGTACGTTTGTGGTATGAAAAAGCCTTCTCCGGGCATAGGTAAAAGTGTATGAACAACTGCTGACGAATACAGTTCTATGCTAAACCTCTAACATATACGCCACTTACAGGCGGCCCTCAGTTGCTATTTCTTGCATCCAACCAAAACTATATCAGAACCCTTAATGCCGAGACTGGAGTTCTCATAAATTCAAGACAAGTTCACACTCCTTTCTTACAATCTGATATAGGATGTACAGGTAAGTCTGAATGTAAAAGAATGATTGGAGTTTATTGAATTGACATGTTGCAAGATATTCCCAATTACATCGGTATCATAGGTAAATAAGAGTTATGTCCTTACTTCATTCCACCACTTATCAAATTACAGGCACACCAACTATCGACCCCGCCACTGATATAGCATATTTCTTTTCCAAAACTTATATACCAAACTACAGAGTTCCAGGAAAGTAAGTATAAACGATTTACCAATTCCATTATTGTTGTCTAATTCCGTTCCCCAATTTCAAGCTCCATTTTTGTGTGTCATTCTATGTTTATTTTTCCTCCTCCGTAGAGTATTGATTCCTCATTCTTCTGGTTCGGCTTGAGAGAATATCGTTGAGAAATAATACTGACTCTACTATCTTGCAGTACTGGAACGGCAAATGGTGTTTACTACTTTCATGCAGTCAACATCAGTACTTTACTTGATGTAGATTCTTACCCAATACTCATTGACGGCGCAATTGCAGATAATGCCCCTCAAAAACATTTTACAGGAGGAGTCATTCTACAACGTCCTTCATTGACACAAGTTGGAAGTGTGGTATATGGCTCCTTTGGGGGTCATTGTGATCTGTTCAATTACACTGGTCTTGTAATGGGCATCGACGTTAACAAAGCCAAGATTATCACAAATTGGGCGGTAGAAAGTGGACCACTAGTTCCGCAAACAAATATTTTGCTTGATGGAGGTGGAGGCGGAGAAGGTGGTATATGGATGAGTGGAATGGGGTTGGCAACTGACGGAGCTAGGATTTTCCTTGTATCTGGTAATGGTGGTGTAAGTGTGCCATGCTCCCCAGAAATTGTTCAATGGCAAATGATAACTGACGTTCTTCTCTAGGCTCATCAAAACCAAGGGACACCAGCTTCAGGTTCGAGTGGTTGTCAAACACTAGGAGAAGCAACCATAAATCTAGCCTTGGATAGCACTGGTGTAATATCCGTATCGGATTACTTCCAACCTTATGACTATCAGAACATGGATGCTGGTGATCAAGATTTTGGTAGCGGAGGCATTGTTCTACTCGATCCGACAGTATTCAAAGGTACAGGTGTAGACAAGATGGCCGTTACTGCTGGAAAAAATGGGAAAATTTATATCTTGAATGCGAACAACCTTGGCGGATATAAGCTAGGACCTGGACAAACGGATAATATCTTGCAAACAATCGTCACGAGTGCTGCAGTATTTGGTGCATGCGGCTCTTATCCCCTTGAGGGCGGTTTCATCTATTGTACTCCAGTCGGCTTGGCAACATCAGTCTATCAGCTCACATTCACATCTAGTGGTCTTCCCCAATTTTCCAAAGTTGGCCAAACGAATGAGGTCTCTGCAGGTCGTGTTGGAGTTGGAATACCAACTGTCACTAGCTTCAATAATCAAATCGGTACAGCAATTCTGTGGATGACAGACCCTGATGCTGGTCTCCGTGCGTGGTATGCTGTTCCCCAGAATGGTGTTTTACAAAAAATCAAGCTACCTCAAATAGGAGGCGCAAACAAATTCCAGCGTCCAGCTTTCGGAAATGGTCGAGTTTATACAACAGATTCAAACGGCGTTCTTTACTGTCTCGGAGCACCTGTCAATCTTCCTCGTGAGTCAATTCTTTTCTTGAATTACTATTCTGTCTAGAGGTTCTATATGGGACAGTCTTGTTTGCTAATCTATTGTTCAGTAAACTGTACTTCTCCAATTGATTTTGGCATCGTTGCGCTTGGAGATAAGTCTGTCCAGACCGTTAGTTGTACAACCAATATTGCGATTACTTCAATAAACGGTGCAACTGTTGGAAATGGGTATTTCTCCGTTGATAATTCAACATTGCCAACAGGTCCCTTGAAAAAGGGGGCCACATTTACATTTCCTGTCACCTGGGACTTATCAAATATTCAAATTGGAGCAACGCCGAATACGTCTTTTGGAAGTGTATCTCCTGGAATAAAAAGCACACCATTGACAATTTTAACGACAAATGCTGTCCCCGGCTTTGCTACTCTCTATCCAATAAGTTTGACTGGTACAGAGGTATCCTCAAAGCCCTTTCTAGCTATTGCTCCAACTACAGTGGATTATGGCGGAATTGTCATTACAAATGAAAGCGACATAAATCCCCAATCAGCTATCTTTACGATATCAAATAAAGGCTTGATGGCCATGACAATCATGGGGTATGCATATACTGCGGATGACCTAGATGATAGTCCGATATTCATCAACAGTACTGTGATAAATGGGACATGGGATTTGGGGTTTGGTTACTTCAGTGCAGTAGGTCTTCCGGAAATTGGGAGTCAGATCGCCCCTAGCTCACAGATATCTATACAATCTTCCTTTGAACCAACCAACGGAACCGGATCATATAATTCTTATTGGCAAGTCTGGTCCGATGGAGGTACAGTCAACATCATCCTTGAGGGTATTGCCTCAACTGCTCCAATAACAAATTTTTCGATAAGCAATGGCGAAGGTGGATGGCTTCCTCAAGCCGACCTTCTTATGGACTTTGGCAGAGTAGCACCTGGAAGCTCATCTTCCCAGCAGATACGAATTTGTAATGTTGGAGGCTCCTCATTGGAGATCAGTAAGAGCAAACCACCAAATGGCGTCTTTCACATTAGTGACCCAACGGAATTGCACGAATCACAACAGATAGCTGTCAATGATTGTGCGTATGGAACCGTTATTTTCTCAGCAAATGTGGAACAATACAATAAGCCAGACCTTGTAATCAACAATACTTGGACTTTGAATACAGATGATGTCAATTGGGGAGTTCACATTGTTGAAATCACTGGGACTGTCATCTCGAAGAAGGTTGGTCCAGTAAATTCTACTACTGGTCAAACAATCTATAATTATCTCGGATGCTTTCAAGAATCTAATATTGGACCACGTCTATTACCCAATCAAGGGTATACACCTAACATCACTGCAAACAGCAATAATATGTGCCAAGAAGCATGTTATGGACTCGCACAATACAGCTTTGCTGGTACAGAATATACTAGCCAATGTTGGTGCGGCAAGTAAGTTTCAAGAACTCACTAATTCCTTTAGTCTACCTAAATTTGCTACTCGATTGTACCCTTTATCCTTGTGTTTCTTCTATGTACTCTTTCTGTTTCTTCATGTAGCATTCACGTTTCGTTTTCTTCATTTGCTTCATTTTCCTTTGGAATCTCTCCTTGATTCAATTCTATGGTCGAGGATCTTTGTATTCTGAAAAATCTTTTCAAATACTATCTGCGGGTTCTAAGTAGCACCTGGGCATTGGTCAATTGATCCCCGAGGATCGAGATTGGGCTTAGCGTATCCATAAGCGAGAACGCTAGACCCAGTTCTAGGCCCTTGATGGGACTACGTACGGGAAATCCCCTCAGATCATATACTGGAGGATATCCTAAAGCCCCTCAATATTCAAATTGTACTTGTATGCAATGCTGACTCCTCGATCTTGCAGTACTCCACCACCATTAGCCTCACAGGATCCTACTAATGCATTGTGCAATTTTGCTTGCCCGGGTGACCCGACCGATGGATGTGGGGGAACTGGCTATGTTTCCGTTTTCTATAACCCTACAGAATATGTGGCTGGATCTGATCCAGCATTGTATGGACCCAAGACAGTCAATAGTGTCGGTAATTACAATTATTTGGGATGTTATAGTGAAGCCACAACTGGTCGTGCTTTGGGTGGTTTAAGCCCTCAAGCACCATCTACAGGATTTACAATCGAATTATGTGCAACTGCTTGCAAAGCATTTATATACTTTGGTATGGAGTATGCCAACGAATGCTATTGTGGGAAGTGAGTATTTTCCTTGTTTGACTCCAAAATTCTACCTCGAAATACTGATTCCGCGAAATCATAGTGTGTTAGGTGTCGGCTCGGTCAATCAGACTAGTGGTACTCCAAGCATTAATGGATGTTCCATGCTTTGTAAGGGTAATACCAAAGAATATTGCGGTGGGCCAGGAAAACTTGATGTGTATATGCTGCACACAGTAGCTTCTTCGTCGCCATCTATGATCTCGACTAGTACAACTATATCTACCACCAGCTCAAGTGGTGCTTCTTCGACTTCTACGACGCAGAATAATACGTCAAATTCCACATCGATTTTGTCGTCCTCAACATCTCCAACAACGTCTACACCCTCAACAATATCAAAAACTTCAACAACTTTGGCAATTCCTACGCCCACAGGCCCCATCACGGTAACGAATGTTACAGGCTATAACTATCTAGGATGCTACAGTGAAGCGACCACAGGTCGTGCCCTCTCTGGTCTACGGCCTGCGCCTCCTATCGGAGGATTCACAATAGAATCCTGTCAATCAAGCTGCTCGGCCTTTGGGTATTTCGGAATGGAGTATTCTAATGAGTTAGCCTGCTCTGACCTCCATTCCCTGCATTGTCCTCGCTAATTTTCTTTAGATGCTATTGTGGTGTTACCATAAATGCCGGCTCAGTTCTTCAAGAAAGCACCATCCCAAGTCTTAATGGATGTAATATGTTGTGCGCTGGAGATTCTGGAGAATACTGTGGAGGTTACGTGTCCATTTTTTCCATCCAATTACCTTCCTACAGAGATATACCTACTAATACATAACAATAGGTGGTTCCAGACTCAACATGTACCAATTTAATGACACTATCTCGGCACCATCAGGACCAATCACAGTCATGAATTTAACGGGTTGGAGTTATTTAGGATGCTATAATGAATCTACAAGGGGTCGTGCTTTGAGTGGTTTAGAAAATCCAATTCCGGGAATGAACAACAGTGTGGAGGCTTGTTCTATGGCCTGTGATGGGTGGACTTATTTTGGTGTTGAGTATGGTGAGTATATCTTATCTTATCTTGGTTAGAGTACAGGAAGAGTTCTTATGGAAGGGTGATAGTACGACTGGGGTGAAATTAGTGCTAATGACGACTGGGAACTTTAGGAGATGAATGCTACTGCGGATCAAACATAAATGCAGGCGCAACACTTCAATCAGGCTTATTACCGAGCACAACAGGATGCAATATGGTCTGTGCTGGCAATGGGACGGAATTATGTGGAGGGAGTTTGAGGTTGAATTTATATCAGGTCGGGTGAGGGGTGAAGTTATGATGAGAGAGCGTTAGAGGTATATTCGTTTATAGCTTGGCATCTAGCTGAGCGCTTTTGCTTTTAATTGATCTTAAGCTTCCGTTTATGACGAAAGATTAATACCAGAGTGAGGATATGAGAGATGGTGGGAATGGAAGGAAGTGGAAAGACGGGACATCTTTTGCTTTTAGATAGTATTTTATCGTTGCGGTGGCTTTAAGTAAATTTCTCAGCAAAATGAGCAACATTTTTCGAAGTAAGAAAGGATATATTGGAAGCTCTAGTCTCAATCTCGGAGTCTGAATAAATGAGGAGGCTGCGTGATTGGTGATAGCAGTGATAGCAGTGATAGCAGTGCTGTGTGTATGAGTTCGATGACGAAGAAAAGGGAATATTTTCCCACTCGAGAACTGTTAATCCACGAATGTGTGTGGAGATGAGATGGATTTTAAGCTGATGTATGATGAATAGGCAACAATAGACATGGTATTATACAGTGGGGACGTAACGATGCAAAAGTAAGGCAGGGAGGGATGATACGAAATATCTGTAGTACCGGGGAATTTCTATTTATTTCCTCATTGCTTTAAATGAGATGACAGCTTTCGGAGCTTCATAATTTGCGTGGAGTTTCATCTGAATATTCAATGTTTGGGTCTTGTAATATTCCGTATTCTCTCAGAGGTTGAGATAGTGAGTTGTGGGTATGTAGCTTAGATGATAGCATAGTTTGGATTCTCATGATCCAGAGAATAAGGTAACAGTAGACATAGTTATGTTTGTGTAGAGTTTGGGGCTGGTTTTAATATTCATATCGACTTTAACTTCTTAAGTATCGGAAGAAGAAGAAGGATCTGGTTACTTGTTTGTATTATATAGAACGTGTACTCTTCATTTGACTATTATATCTCTCATTTCTCTTTCCATACTCATCTTAAATCTCATATCCTATACCTCCCAGATTTCTCAAATCGAACACTAGCCTGCAAATTCCAAGTCCTTGTTTTCTCTAGTGATCCTTTTATCAATAACATCGGTGGTAAAACGGAGAATGCTAGCTGGATGATTGTCAGGTAATGTGTAAGGATTGACGTTTATATCGACACCCCATCTTTCAAGGTTTTCATCTGAACAGTGCGCCTCTCCCGTCTCGATCAGGCTCATATAGCCATGGAAGTCTTCAAGACGATTGGAAAGTACAGTAGCCGTCGCCATGATTGTGAACTTCGCCTCCAACCAACTGATGGTTCTGTGAGCCATGGTATCACTGTTCTTGAGAATGTGAGCCTCATCCACAGCGATGTGGTCGAATAAGCCTGCAAGATTGTACTTCCAGTCAGGATCGCTCACGTTGATTTCATCATCGGCTTCTTGTCGCGTGTATCCGAGGTGATGCATCCGATAGTTTTTGAGAGCTGTCGGTCCGTGTCTTGAGCGCATTGTTACCACTGATGTGATAACGATAACTCGAGAATTTTCTTCATCTCCGTTGAAATTTGGATGATTCCGCGTCAACTTCCCCTTCGTCAACTTCGACACTACCCTCTTGTAATTTGTAAACCAGGAGGTACGTTCATCATAAGTACCTGAAAGTCTGGATAATTTTCGTCGATCTCCGCAGCCCATTGCTCGATCAACTCTGGCAATACGATCAATAAGAGCGGCTTTGCTGGAGGAGGAGGAAGGGGGAGATCTGGCTCTGGGTAAGGATTCTGGTTGATATCGATATCATCAGCAATGTTACCACGTCGGTTATGTATAAGGCGACGCCGGCTGCTCGATAGTGTGCTCCAGGATTCATAACGTAATTTTTCAGTGTTGTAGTCTTCCAGCTCTTCTTCATAAAGAGTAACAGCCTGACAACGTTGAATTTGTATCTATGTAACTTATTAGTGGTCTGGAAAAGGCTAACACAATTGATGAGGAACTTACCCAGATCCAGAACCCAATGATTTCTATCGTCTTGCCTAAGCCCGTGGCGTCGGCTAATAAGCAAGCCCGCACAATCGGATTTTTAAAGATCGTAATCATACGTCTCATCCCGGTTACTTGCCAGCTTTTAAACTGGAAAGTTAGGTTCATACCAGGAAAGCGAGGATGCTCAGGATCGAACCCGAAGAATTTACAATCACTGATGTAATCCAGTGGTTGATATTCCTTGTTGTCCAGAAAGTTTTCCATCTGCACCATTTCTGCCATGGCAGCGGCTGATGGTGCCACGAAAGATTTGGAAGATTCAGAACTGAACAGAGCTTCAATCTCCTTTTCCCGTAAGATTGTCTCAGCATTCATATCTTTGGCATCAGCACCAACATCTCTTTCTGCAATTTTCAAGAGCTTTTCTAATAAGAATTTGTTCTTGAAATTTCTCAAACTGCTTGAGTTGTGGATATGTAGCTTGGATGGTAGCATAGTTTGAGTTGTTATAATTTGAAAGATTAGAGAGCAGGAGGTGTAGTTATGTTTGTGTACAGTCAGAAAATGAAATATTTAAACGAATCGAAAAATTCTTTTTGACCTTAGCGTCAATCTCACTTTTGGACCGGCTAGCACACTTTATTGTTTTTTCCCATTTTTGATTTTCAACTTCTTCCATCCTTCAACCTTCAACCACGACGACGACAACAACAACCTCTAAAAACACCGTCGCCGCCATCAATTCAAATCTCCAAATACCTCGACTCTTTGATTCCTTATATCAGAGCATCTTTCTCAATCAAAAATTCTTTTTCCAAGGTAACCACACCAAAATTCTTTTTGTCAGAAGTGTAACTGACCTTTTTAGCTTGTCGATCTTAAATCTTTGGATCTACAGCTAGACCACCTTTACTTGAACCTCGAGACAGGCAGTTCTGGAACCATGGCATCCTCAGCGGGTGCAAGAAGCATTGAAGCTGATCTCAAGAAGAAGAAGAAGAGAATTCTGGCAGATGCTCTCTTAGCCCTCGATTAAATATCTAGCAACAAGTTGGCAGGTGCCCATATTGAGCCCAATACCTATCAAAATCTCGAAAAGATGGCTCCTTATCTAGGACTTCCGAATGCAAACGCGGTTACGAAATTCCTAGAATCTCCAGAGTTCCGCCCTTGGTTCAATGAGCTTTATCAATCTGCTATCTACCCGCGCACTCTTAAAGCACCTAATACCAAAGGTCCCTCTCTTTTACAAGTCCAAAAAACGATCATCTACGGAAAGTCATTTGGTCGTCGCAAGTACTCTAGTGTGTCTTTGAATAAGACCGGCAGGGAAGCTGATCATTACGCTTCATGCTTATATCGTCTATGTGTTGAAAACACACACTCTCGGGACGGGGTATTTCGCAAACACCAAATGAGCACGATCGAGAAGGAAGCGAGGATGTAAATGTGTATGTGTATTGTTCGCGCTACCTCAGATGCGAATCGTTTTATCACAAAAACTAAAGCTCAGAAGCGAAAGAATTTGAGTATTGATGAGGACTCCAGCGAAGATACCTCTTAATTTTCTGAGAACTGAGAGAATGAAATCCATCAAAAGTATATTCTTCAGAGCTTACTTGTGATTGTCGTATCTTGTATGCGTGTCTGTAGGTGGAAGGCTTGTTAATATTCGGTTGTTTTGGTATGGGTATGGAAAATGGGAGAGAAAGTTAGAGTTGCAGATGGGAGATGAACTCATATTATCTTGAGAATATGCATATATTAATGTACGATATCATTTGTGGACATTGGTATAAGGTTGGTATAGAAAATAGAGAGTAGCATGGAGCGAGCAAGCATGGCTTGGGGGAGGAAAGACATAATATAATACAGAGATGATATTGGAAGGAAGAATTTAGAAAAAATGAGGCTTCGAATGGATGTTTGTTTAGAGAGAAGATGCCATGATATGATAAAGAAATGATAAAAGCGTTCTTGCGATGGTATCAGTTGATGTAGCCTTAATCGCGGGAGTGTGAATGTCAGAATTTTCGCGGCAACGGCAGGACGGGACGGGACGGGACGGGACTAATACCGTTGTTGCATATCTTCATCTAGTGACTCTAGAACTCGACTTTCTTTTTCAAAGAGTCAGTTGACTGTCACGCTTTTGTGTAACAGGAAGACTGACGGGAAGTGGCAGCATTGTCAAAAAATGGGGATTTGAATTCGCGTGGTCCAGTCAACTCTGTTAATCTCATATCACGAAAGAAGTAAATTCTATTCGGCAACCTACTAACCTTAAGGCTATTCTTTTTGAACAAGAGTTATAAATTATTCGGGGAAGTCACGAATGAGTATTTTATTTGGGTAATCCGGAAAAGGAGACGAAGCCTTTAACGAAGTGGGAGTATTCTGATATGAGGTGTGAGAATAGAACAAACGTCACGTTGATATTTCCCGTGCCAGGTGCAGAATTAATAAGAAATGAGTGAGATATATCAAATCCGGCGCGGAGTGAAGTTCGAGCGGGGTCAGCACGGACCTCAATGTGACTGTGAACTTCAACATCATTCATGTTCATGATCATCCGATTGCACTCGTCTCATTATGTTTTGCACTCATATCATCTCGTTCTGTGAACTCATTGTGAATATATTTCCATTATCATCTCCTTGAATCGGAAATGTTCTTCGGGCTGTTGATCCAAAGACACTTGAGCACAATGAGGCAGCTTTTGACTTCGTCTCGAGATTCTCCATGGGTTCTTGGAGCACCAGAGGGATGATATTGATGGAGTGGAGTGAAGTGATGGGTGTATCTGTTCTATCATCATGATACGCCGCGGCTCTTGAGATGTTTTTGCTTCAAGGAAACTGACTTTAACATGGTAATGTTTGGCTACTGAGCTGGTGAGGAAACCAAGAGATTAGTTATGCTCTCTTGTGAATCAAGATTGTAGGTCCGGAGCCCAAATCTGCGTATGTATTCCGGTCCGAAAAAACATATTTGTGATACTTTTCAAGCTTTTTGCAACAGAACTTGTCTTGCGACTGCGGGCTTTGTGAATGCGAACTCAATTGTTCATCGTTCATTCTGCATGTATCCGAATCAAATATATCACGAACGAAGCTACGCGAAGGAGGCGAGAGCAGAATTTGTTTCACCTTTTAATCTTTTTATAATTCATATTCACTATGCATGATCTGCGGCTCCCTACCTCTGGGACTAGATCCTCCCTTGGATTTCCTTCGATCTCTAAATCTTTCGATCTTCAACCCCAACCTTTCAACACCAAATCCCCAACTTAACCTCCGTCACATCTTTTCAACAGAGAATCTTCGTAATATTCCAGTTTCCTGGGCTTCGCAAGCTAATTCAAGCCCTTTGATCCATTCAAGATCCTCAACAAACAACTTTTACGAACTCGAAAGGACAGCTTCCTCCAATCTACTATCTCGGCCTCATCCTTCGTACATTTTGACTTTGCAAGCTATCATATCTTATCATCCCTCTCAATTGATCTCAACCTTGATTTCTACGGGATTTCCTATCATCACCAATCTTATTGTTACCTCTACTCTACAATCATTCTTATGCGCCATCAGAAACATTGAAACAATGGAACAAACTCCGTCAGAGAGCAGTCTGATGACAGATTCTACGTTACAGCCTGATGAAGATCTAATATTTGGCACCGAGTCTCAATGGAAATCAGCCAGCATGTCTCCTAAAACACCAAGGCACAAGTCTTACGTGGAGCGTACAACTCAGCCACACATCAAAGCTGAGGACAGCGAGCCGGAAGAGGTAAATCTTATTGCATGGGTTCCCTCATCTAGATCCAAGTCTGCAGGGAAATCAGTAGCTCAATCACAAATCAAGGCTGAGGATAGTGAGCTAGAAGAAATTGATGCAGGCGTTTGGTCCTCCTCACGCACAGGTTCTACAGTAAAGACACCCCGCAAGCGTTCAAGAACTCATCCTTTGTCTAGCCCTGGTGTTAAGTTGGAGGGAGACGATGTTCAAGTCAAGACCGAAGCTTCGGAATTTTCATCTTCAGATGAGAGACGGAGTTCCTCAAAGCGTCGCAGATCAATCTGGGGCAAGAGTATTCCCTATGCTGGAAGAAGACTTAGTCGCTCAATCTCCCCAGAGTTGCCAACCGTCAAAGAATTGTGTGATCCGACAAAGCATTCTCGCACTCCAAGTCCAGAAACAACAGATTCTGCTAATGGAGAACCCGAATATGAGTATGACTTGGAGAACAGTGACTTTAGTGACATCGAAAATGATGACAATAAGTCTTCTATCAAGCCAGAGCCTTCTCAGAAAAAGCGCCGAGAGAGCCCCATGAAGACTTCCCGAGAGTGGTGGGCTCGTTCTTACCGCAGAAAGGCTAGATTTCAGAAGAGGCGAAATCGTAGAACCTTTGCAAACGATGGAGCGACATCAAAAATCAACAACTTTATGAGTCACAACCCTATCGATGATCACAAGGAGAAGCTCGATAAAGAGGAATCGCCCGGAATTGAAGCATCCTCAAAGAAGGAATACTTTGACCTGGTTCTCAGGAATATCCGGACCGATGGGCGTATACATAACTGTAGAGGGGACAAAACTGCATTGAAGATCGCGGGCGAAAGTTTTGGCCGGGCTAATGTCAAATATAAAAGCGAAAATACATGGAATATGAAGGGGCTAAAGACGGGTAAGTTATCTTGCGACTTTAACATTACTTTGTGATCTAATCTCATGTTCTTCCAGCTCTTTATCATCATCAACTTCTTGGTGCAAGCTGGACGCTAGGTCGAGAATTTGACCCCGCGGGTCCACCGGGAGGGCTTGTTTGCGATGTGATGGGTCTTGGCAAAACTGTGGAGATTCTTGCAGTATGTAACATCACTTTATGTTTAATATCATTTGCTGATAATTTGTAGACAATTGTCGGTAACCCTCGCCCTGAAGGGGCAGAAGGACGAGAGATAGGTCCAACTCTGATCGTGGTCCCCTCAAGTATCGTAGGTCAAACTGCAAGTGTTTTTACGAGATACTAACGCTTCGCAGTCGGCACAATGGGTCTCGGAAGCAGCCAAGCATCTTGCTGATGACAGCTTGAATGTAATACTATATGCCAAAAGCCAGAAACTTTCCAGGAATACACTTATCAAGGCTGATCTGGTTATAACTACGTATGATCAGATCAGAATGTCCTCACCATTCCCGCCAAAGTGGTGGCTCGATGATCTAGCTTTAAAGCTAAAGAAGAAAGGTTGTACAATAGATGAGCGGACATCTATTGAAGAATGGATTGACGAAAATCGCGAGGAGTACGCCGAGGTTTTGCATAAGATTGAATGGCATCGAGTAAGTTGGGAGGCTTTCCTGAACACTGAAAAATTATATTGACATGATTATTAGATCGTTCTTGATGAAGCTGTAGGTAACGCCCACTATAAACTATGAGACTCTCTAACATGCGTAGCATTACATAAAAAATCATGATTCCAAAACCAGTTATGCGGCGAATGCTTTGCTCGGAGAGTTTCGATGGCTTATGACAGGAGTAAGAGACATCATAACACAATAGCTGCACTCAAAACTAACTTCTCATAGACACCGATGATGAACAAGCGAGAAGGTCCATTCTACAGTTCTAAAGAGCCTATTATCCTGCTAATAGTCACCAGAACTTTATTCATACTTTCGTTTCCTCAAACTCGTTGGAATCTCATCCCTTGCAAAGTTTGTTTTTAAAGAATTTTTTTCTAAGTATGCATAACTAATGTTCCACTAGGTTTAAACAAAGTTATGGCGACCACCAAAATGTATGTACCTAATTTCGATGAGCTTTACTTCTGCTGACTTTGGTTTCATAGCCTGCTTGTAACAACCGACTTGATGAAATATTATCCAATTTAGTGCTTCGGTAGCTATTATTCCTCACTACCTACCTCATGCTGAAAATAGCTTCACCAACTGACAACAAATAGGAGAACTATGCAGGATCGAATTCTGGGGAAAGAATTAATCACTTTGCCAACACCGCACAAGGAGAACCCGACTGAATTGTTCCGCTTGGCAACTCGAAATTTGTATCGGGCAATTGAAGCAAAGTTTCGAGAGATAATCGCTCAACAAGAGTTCGAAGATAGTGATCCGCGGAAGAAAATGAAATATCTTATAGTCATGATTCTGCGACTAAGGCAGTGAGATTGCAGTGAATTCATATTGATATCTAGGTATTCGCTAACTTCTTAGGTTTACCGCGAGTCCATTAGCCATCGAGCCACAAATAAAGGTGATAAACTACATAAGCCCAACGATGACTATTTCTAAATTTTTGCAGGCTTTATTCAGTATTGGGGAACTGCAAAAGTTACGGAAGGGCATGGATAATTCATGTCCTGCTTTATATGAGCGTATGTCCCCCAGACAACTCGTAATGTCTCATCTAACAAGAATACAGGAATGGGAATTTGGATCGACAGTTTAAAGAATGGCCACGGACCCTCAATTGGTAGCAAAAATCTTGACGAACATATTTGTGGAATTTGTGGGCAAGAAGCAGATGACCCTCGGCAAATTCGCAACGGTCGCAAGGGCCGAAAGAGTTGTGATCATGTCTTTTGCCAAAGTTGCATAGATGTGAGAGTTACTGCACAAACTGCGAGAACAGATGTGTGTATTATGATGAAAACTCCACTAAGATCTCAGCCTGCTTACAATCAGTAGGATATTGTGTGTCCAGCTCATGACTGTGGCAGAAACTTCAACCCGGATCGTATGGTATCACTTGATTCATGGTCGACGGGACCAGAAGAGGACTCTAGCATGAGAAAAGGACGAGATGAATTGGGATTTTTACCAAGATTGAGTGTCAGGTCTGAGTGGCTTGAAGATTTTGACAAAGGAACCGCCAAGCTTCCTCACACCCCAAAAGTGGAAGCTATTAAACAAAAGCTTCAAACTTGGCGTCGTGAGGCACCTTCTGATAAAATAGTTATCTTTGTCCAGTGGAAGTTGATGATGAGACTCATCGGGATCATGCTCGAAGAAGAAGATCACCACTTCTTATACTATACCGTGAGTCAAGAACTGGAATATTTGCACTTAAACTCGCTAATACTTTACAAGGGAGAAATGACGGCTGAAAATCGAGCATATACTCTAAATGAATTCGAGAAAAATCCCGAGATCACAGTGCTTATCATTGGCCTCAAAGTTGGAGGTGTAGGGTTAAATCTTGCGTTTGCCAATCGCGCCATTATGGTGTATGTCTTTTTCTCCTCTATTGGACCTGAAGATGGCTACTAATGAATACACAGTGATCTCTGGTGGAATTCTGCGACAGAGTCTCAGGCCTATGGTCGAATCTTTCGACTTGGCCAACTTCAGGAGACTTATTTCGTGAGGTTCATGATGAGAGAATCGGTTGACATTAGACTACTTCGTAGTGAGTTAAAAAATCCCCCGTTAGAAAAGCGAACATAAAGATTGACATCATTGCTAGTGCAAGTCTTTAAATCAATCATTATTGATGGCACACTTGAAGGCAAAACTACGTTGACTTGGGCTGAAGCTCTGTCCTTCTTGGGTGAAGTCCAGTGGGGTAAGTTGAAATAATTCATCATTTTTACCATATCATTAACTCTGCTTTGTAGGCGAAAATGGTAGTTTCAAAATCGCTGCCGATTACGAAAAGCTCGAGGAGTGGCTCGATGACTGGTTGAATAAGCAAAAGAACGTCTAAACTAGGGTTGGGAACCCAAGAAACGTACGATGACCAGAGTTTTCTAGAACGAACAAGCAAAGAAATCCTTCTTGCTATAACCTGGTCGAGCATTCGTTACCAGCTCTCCAAAACACTCAGTACAGCCATCCTCTCTGGCATACATTATCAAAGAATCCCGGAGAGCTTTACTGGATCTCTCGACAAGAAGATTACATGTCTCAATCTCCCACAAAACACAGATTCCGTATCATTCTTGCAGCATCTCGCCGAGTCCTCATTTTAGTTCTCATCAGCATTTCCGTCAACTTTACCTAAGGATTTGGAATTTCGGATCTGGCTGGCACCCATCGACGCATTTGCTGCAGAGGGTTTTCAGTCCATTCCGGAGAACTATCAAAAATGATCGCAAATTCAATACCTTTCAAGACTCCCCACCAAAAGTTTTATCCCCTTGCTTTCATCAATATTCACCTTGCGTCACCAACTTCCAAGATTTACCTCCACCGTATTTTCAACTCGACATTTTCGCTGTAAATAGCAGCAGTCTTCAGTCCTTGCTGATGATGGCTGTTATAATCAACGACATTCATCGACCTTTGCTCGAAATCCTTGCTGTCATCCCCGACATCTGATATTCCGCATCTAGAATATCTCCTATTTTTAACGACACACGGCAACTTCTCAGCTGGGACGAAATGCATGGATGGAAATCTGGAATGCCCCTTTCCCATTAAGATCACAAATAGCACCATTTCATTAGCACCAACTCGTTTATCTTTCCTCATAGCAAATTTTATCATGATCAATTTTCATTTTATTTCTTTGGACAAAAAAAAGGACGCAAGCGAAAAATAGTTAGTTTCATACATATCTTACCATTCTCGAGATATGAAGAGGAAATGATCATCTCTTTTCAAACGATAATGCGATTTATACTGCGTGATATATGTGAATCTGATAGTGAAGTGAAAAGATTCTGCGATTTCGTTATCATTTGAGATCTTCCCAATACTATCCCGGGTATCTCTTTCAGAAACTAGAAATGAGTGGTATCTTCCTCCGGGCTACTAATGACGTCTTTTGAAGATTGGGATGTGTCCAAGCTTGAACTACATATACTCGGCTATGTAATACCCCAGCCAAGCTCTGTAGTGTGATACATATATCTGTTATCTTTGTCCTCCATCCTCCCATTTCCATCTCCATCCACTTCTACTCTCCATGATCTCTCACGTCTTCCCACCTTCCCGTCTATACATTCATTACCCCTATCCCTTCTCCCATTTGCTCCCCTTCGTCTCCAGAATTACCTCATCCCCCCTTCATATCCACATTCACATTCACATTCACAGCCACAAATAACCCCCACCCCCCATTTCCTCACCTCAAACCCTCAAACCCTCAAACCCTCAAACCCTCAAACCCTCAAACCCTCAAACCCTCAAACCCTCAAACCCTCAAACCCTCAAACCCTCAAACCCTCAAACCCTCAAACCCTCAAACCCTCAAACCCTCAAACCCTCAAACCCTCAAACCCGCCTCTCATCCCACTACCTACTCTAGATACCTATTAAAACAACCCAGTCCCTTCAACCACCACCACCACCACAATTCCAATCCACCCTCAAAATCCACAAGAGACGAAAGAATCAAAGAGAGAGCGAAAGAAAGTAACAAGCACGAGTTTGGTACTTACTCACTCACCTAAACCAAGACCAACAATATCTATCCAACACCCTTACCCTTCCAGCTCTTTCTCTGTCACACCCTTCTCCCAGATCTTCTTTATTATGCTGTAATAAAGTTCCCCCAAACATCCCACTCAAACAGGTAGGTACCTCATCATCTCCCCACCAATCTACTCCAGAAACCCAACACAACACATCTCAACACCCGAAACACAGCGTATCAAAACAAGGCAAGTCAAAAACACCACAGAAAAAGCAGACCGAACAAGTTCGACAGGAAAGGTGCACGAAATCAAAATGGTATCATTACTGCTTTAATAAATTTCCCTTTAAGCACCCACGGTACCACCCACATATCCACCAAGCCATCCCCCTTCCTCCCTCCGTTTCATTCCCTTCCATTCCCTTTGCTTTATCATCCAATTCCCTCCTCGGAAAAACAAAAAGTAAATCCCCCATCTCAAAAGAAATAAATGTAACTCAATGTAAAGGAAAAGAAATGTACTTGATATCCATTCACTCCCATCCCATGCCATCTCAACCTAGCAGATCCTATCCCATTCCACCATATCTCGCACCCCCGAACAAAATCTCCGACTTTATCTGCATAAATACACACCAAATAAGAAAACCAAACGAAAGTCTTTTTTCACATTTCCTATTTCGTACTTGCCACTTGCCATTCAAATCAAATCAGATACACCACCACCCCACCCGCATACATGCCATGTTCAGCACCACAAAGATTCATGATGGGGTTTCGAACCCCATCTCGAAATGAAAGTAAAATTTCAAGACCAGATCTTCCCAACTTCCTCGTGATTGATCTTCAGATTCGGCTTCAAGGGGAAAGCTGATTTGAATCCGTCGATTGATCGTATTAAGTAGATTATTAAAGCATCATCTTCAACTTCAGTGAGTAGGTCGTTAATGATCGTTCATGAATAGATAGGCTTTTTATCCACTCATTTCCAAAATTTCATCCAAATCCACTGCTGACTGGGAAGATTTGTTTTGCGGATGAAATTTTTATCTATCTCTCCCCAACATACCCTTCATTAACCTCTGCCTCATCTCCTCGCCCCCATCAAAACCACCTGCACCACCACCCGCCCCGTAACTTCCACTTCCCGCTCTATTATTCCTTAATAAATCATTCGCACCTCCATCAAATGCATTGCCCAAGCCAGAGCTCGTACCATAAATGCTGTTGGTATTTGCATTGCTTCTCGAGCTACCACCACCTAAACTATTCATATTCGTTTGACCGTAAGCAGATGCGGATGTGTGGCCCAAAGTAGGAAGATCGAGAGTTGGAAGATCAATGTAAGAAGGATCTGCGTATTGATTATAAGATTGTTGATGAGTTGTTGGGGTTGTACGAGTATAGGATGAGGTTTGATTCAAAGCGGAAGGTTTATAATCAGGCTGAGAATATGATGGAGTTGCAGTAGCAAGAGAAGTTGTGCGAGGGTTATAGGATGCTTCAGGTTGCGAATAAGTTGGTGAAGGATTGGCTAGGGAAGATGAAGTTCGGTATGATGTATCAGGTTGAGAGAAAGAAGGTGATGATTGAGCTATGGTGTGAGGACTAGCGGTCCGGTAAGAATTTTCGGCATGTGCAAATTGTGGTGAGGCTTGGGTCATGGTACCAGCTCGGTAGCTGTTACCCATCTGAGGTGATGGCTGATGAGCGCCATATCGTTGGTTTGCTTGCGGATTTGAGGAATATTGTGAGACATAATTGGTACCAGTATGATTCGGGAAATAACTATTCGAAGCATTTCTCGGAACATTTTGTGTCATCTTTTGAGTCTGATCATCGCGTGGGTGGCCTTGCTGTGACGTCTGATGTTGAATTTGAACTTGCTGAGGCTGTTGAGAAGTTTGCTGAGTCATTTGTTGTGGCGTTGATTGTGGAATCGATGAAGATTTTTGATGTTGACGTCCTTGCGGTGTGATTGTTGAAGTTGTAGGAGTGATACTGCGTCCATTCTGTTGTCCGAGATCTTGTTGAAATCGAGCATAATGAGCTTCCAATCCATCAGCAGGTCGAGTTACAGGTGTATTTTGTTGCGTCTGTTGAATACTTTGTACTGAAGTAGCGGGAGAATCTGGAATAGAACTTGGTGGGATAGGAGGTGTAGCATTACTAACAACCGAAGAACCGGGTTTTTTGCCAGTAGAAGGACCATTGGTTCCAGGAACCTTTGGCTTTCGCTGCCGTTTAGGAGGTGGTGGAACAAGAGTTTCAACCATTGGAGGTACGGATTCCCATTGCACAGTGGAGGTATCTTTTTGCACAACGGGAATTTCAGCAGGCGCGGGTAGAGGACTGATGTTCTTAGAAGTATGGCTAGTTTGCGATTGCGATCCTGACATATTTTGAGATGCAGTCATTGGTGCAGTTTTAGGCTTATTGGGACCACGCTTTCGTTTTGTACCGCCAGCTGTGGGAGTACCATTGTTTACGGGCGTTCCTTGGGTCGAATTGAAACCAGTGGGGCCTTCTGCAGGTGTTTGAAATGCTTCGATAACGGCACGTTCCTCGGGGCTATATTGATCTGGTGGGAGAATTGAAGAAGTATGGTTATGGTTATTGTTTGAGTCTGGGTTCCAATGTTCTGCCGAGTACGTGAGTTGTGGCTGGCCACTCTTATTGTTTGCGTCTGTCACTGGGACAATCGGTGATTCCTTCGTAGAAACGGGTTTATCAGCTACCATCTTTGCAACTGCTGCGGGTTGATGCTGGACGTTTTGTTCCGATGGCGCTGGATCTGCTATAGTAGTATCGACATTATTCAATCCACCAGTACTCTCAGTCCCGGCTGATACTTCCTTTCCCTTGTTTCTTGATCCTTTGGGTCTACCCCTTCTTCGCTTGCTTGTAGATTCGGTATCAGGAGCATGATTCTCGATTTGTCCTTTGAGGGGAGTGGCTGGTCGATCAGACTCTGCCTGAATCGGTCGACTAAAGTTTGGACTAGCCATTGCTGCTGATGGAAGTGGTGCCGCTGCTACTGTTACTGGTATTGGTGGAGCTGCCATCGGGGGCGCAGTATTAACTAAAGCTACGGATTGAGGTAATCCCCAAGTTGGAGCTTGAACAGCAGGACCGTATCCAAAACCGTTTGCGGGACCAGGCGCTTCGGAAGTGCCATTCTCTGGACCTTTCGAGTCTCTCGGTGGTCTTCCACGACCCCTCTTTCCCTTGGCAGAAGGTGGTTCTTGTGGCCTTGGTATTGGTGGTGGTTCAGGGTTGGCTGAAAGATCGGGAAATATTTCTGCCAGCCATCCTATAAATAATGCTCCCGTCTCTCTTGTATTCGCACTCTCAGGAAAGATGCCATCTTCCGGTGGTGGTGCACCAGGTATACCTCCAAAATATGCCACTGCTTTACAAACCTGATCGACAACAGTAACTGGATTGATGCTTCTTAATAATGTCAACAATCGCGCTTGTTCGTATTTAGTCTCATCCGGAGTTAGCGGCCTCGCACGTTGTTTGTGATCATCTCGTGAAGCAAACGGCGACGCGCGATTCCCACCTTCATTTTTTGCCGCCTCGAGTCCCCTCTTTTTCGGAGGAGCATATTTTTCGTTGGCAGCAGCTTTCGCTCGTGATGCGGTATTCTCGCTCGTCCTTCTCGCTGCAGCATCACGTTCAGCTGAAGCATCTTTCCCTGGTGCCTCTTTCTTTCCTGGCGTGCTAGCTCCCATATGCATCACGCCAAAATTGCCCTTTTTATTATCGGTCTTGCCTTTTAACTTGGATGGCACGGGATTTCGAACTCTGCCATCTTTATTGGGACCTAGAACTCCATCGGTAGCCTGGTTCGAATTCAATTCTACCAACTCCAATGGCAACGCGCCGAAACCGCCTCTCGGCGAGGAAGATGATTGATCTTTCTGTATTGTTTTACCAGGTGCACCTGTAGGTGTAATGTCCGTGGTATTCTGACCCGACGCAGGGCGCGATGATTGTGCCATCGAATTCTTCGTGGTGGATGTGATGTCGAGAGCGAATTTACTAACTTGATTCGCGTTGGGTGATTGTAATTTAGAATGGAGCTCGGTCGCATTAACGATATCGGTGTCAACAAATCGATTGATGTGAAAGTGACCAAAATTACCTTTGCCTGCTACAACTGAAGATAAACTAGATGACACTGTTGACATGATCGAGATTGAATGTAAGATGTTGTCGCCATCCTAATTTCTATTTTGTTGTACAAGGGAATTAGGTAGTTTTAGGGTAAGAGCTACTTTGGTTTAGGTTAATTGTTAACCACGGGATCGCGTTTAACTGAATAAGCTATGGCCCCCAAAAATGGTAAGGGAGGGCGAGGCAGTGTTTACTGGCCGTACGTATAGGAGGTAGAGGATAGAGTTTGGGATGATAACAGGTAGAAAGTTGATTGAGATGGAAAAGAGTGAATGATGTATATATGTCATGTCGTATTTACCCCAGAATTCAGACAATTCAGACAACTCAATGATTTATCGTGGAGGGAGAGACGAATAACACAGTATATCTTCAAGGTTTATAGTCAAAATAGATACCATTCAAGAAGTTATTATAGCCTTTAATTTTGATTGATATGTTTTTTATTACTAAATGTCTATTTTACTATCTATTGTCATATAGATATAATATAGATAAACCGGTATATTCATTCCTAATGAAATGTACTTATTACCTCCAGCTACCTGTGACCAAACTCCAACCTGATACATATCTTGTTATCTACCAGCCACCGGACTTGCCCTGTTTCTATCTTTCAGCCTTCTATCTATATAATTAACATATATAGGTATGTATATATACAACCTATTATATCCTTAGCTCGATCTCTTCCAAGGTTCCTATCTCCTCCGCCTTCTAATTATTATATATTTATATACAACCCATGATACTATACCCCCATCTCTCCCTCTTCCTTCAGCCTCCCACCTAGATCACTGTTCTATCTATCTACTAGTCAAGACTACCTAGCACTTACCACCATATTCCCTCTTCCCTCTTCCCTCTTCCCACATCACTACACTACCTATATCACTGCCTACCTAGGTACGTCATCATATCACTACTTCTACATCCCAAACCACGAATCCAACCAACTTATAAGCACCTCACTTACTCCGAATAACTATCTAACCAACTAAACACAACATCTCAAACCACTCTACACCTACCTAGTACCTATCATCTACCCATCAAAGCCTATCCAGCATCGATCCAGTATCCATTCAAGCCTTCCCATCCTATTCCATCTCATCTCAGCCCACCCATCTCAGCCCACCCATCTCAGCCCAGCCCATCAACCCTCCCAAAATACAACCATATTTGCGCCGCCTTCCCAATTCCCAGCTCACTTCCTACATTATCAGTACCACCCATACCAACAGCTAAAACCAAGCCAGCCTTTACTCATCCTTCCATAGTATCTGGTATAAATTACTCTCTATACGAACAATTCTCTCAATCTGATAGGTCAAGAACCGCAGAAACAATACTAGGTATATCAATGCTTACTAAGAATACCTTGACACGAAACGTTGGACCAACTGTTTGTTTTGTTTGTTTTGTTTTGTTTCTCAATGCGAAATTAATCAAGTTCCGACCGACCTAGTACCTACCTACGATAGGTGTCTAGCAAATGTTGTGCTGAACAATGGTGAAGAGAGAATTCACATTGTCTTGGTAACTTCAACATAAATATGAATAAATGAATCGATTTTGGAATACCTAGTTTGTAAATACCTAGTATAGTATTCATATTGTACACACCAACCATTATAATTTGCAAGCCATCCTTTCTCCCAATTCTAAATGCCGTCGGGCGTGTACCCTCATCTCAACAATGGTAGGTTGATATGAAGCCATTAAATATCAATCGCAACAGGGGTGGCGTATCTAGCCTTCTACCCCACCCAATCCATCCTGGTGTCCATCGACATCTCATCTCGATTATCATATTGAAGATCGAATGAGAGTTTTCACCTCCGAACCATATCATCATATCATACCAATGTCTATGGCTTGACGTTCCACAATTCCGTCGTCCATCCTCTTTCCTTCATCTTCTTGCTATTTTTCGATGTTGTACTTCTCTTGCTGTTGCTTGACATGATGAGAAGTTCTTTACTTGATGAGGCGAGAGCATTTACAAGTTCTGGCATTCTTCCGGTTTTCGAGAAGAGTTCCAATAGATCGGAATTTTCGGCAGCAATAATAGTAGCTAGATCCATAGAAACCATCAAGTAATCACGTGTCAACATAGGTCCAGCCATCTGTAATGTTGCGATCCAAGCCAAAATAGTCTCAGGGAGATAGGTTTCTCGTAATCTTGCGAATTCAGGTTGATCTGTGGAAATTGTTAGTTTCTTTGCCAATGGATCAAAGAGATCTGCTTACCTTGTAGACTTGTTGTCAACCATCCACTAAGCAACGGGTCTGCACAAAGTTTAGCTATTGGAAGGCTTTGGGCTAAGGCCCGCTTGAAGTCTTTGATGATTGCAATTTCGGTGGACCTGTTGTAAGAATGTTAGCAATAGAACTGATCTCAGATACCAAGTAACTCACTCTTGCATGAGATGGTATAGACCCCATGCGCTCTCTATGCGATCTAAAGTCAAGGCCAGTGTTTCGAGTTCTCGAAAGCTCTTTGCTTGCTCAACCATATACTTTTTAAGGTAGCGCTTTTTATCTGCTGATCCATCAAGGACTTCAGTCAGATCTTCATTGTCTTCAGACTCCAAGCCTGTGAAATCGAGGCTCTCGCCTAATAATGCTCGAGTTTTACTCAATGCGATTTCAGAACTTGAAATTCTTTGGGATAAATGGTAGGCGGCGTGAAGATGCATATTTTCTAATTAATTAGCATTTTTCGAGAAACCTGAATGTGAGAACTTACTGTAAAACCGTTGATATAGCATCCTGCCAACCATGAATGTCTCAGACCAAAGTCCATCCACAAGTAGATACCACTCTAAACTTCTAATGAGTAGAAGGTCAATCCTATCGAGGGTCTCGGAATCCGATCCCATAAAATCTTTCTTTATTGTCTTGCCTCCTTTGCCATCATCTTTTAATACTTGAAACTCCTTAGGTGAAGGATAATCTTTAGCTCCATCAGGATGGTCTGAAAGAAGGAATCTTGACTGGTAATTCACAAATTGTTGAACATCCAATCCAAGCTCTCTCATCAATCTGATTTGAGTGACCCGTTGTTCATGATCTGTAATATCAATCAAAGTACGACTAAGTGTGGCGTATCTTCTTGCCCCGGAGAGTTGTGAACAATATAGAGGTATGAGCTCCCCTTTATTGGCAAGACGCAAGAAGCTGATGTACGCAACAATCACGTTTTCAATGACTGACTCCTTAAGTACACCACCCAAGTCTAGCCCAAGACCTCTGAAGATGAGGATAGCATGGGTGAAAACTCGCAAACTGTCGTGATCACCCAAATTGACATAATTGGTGGTATCCTGGTCTTTAGGTTGTTCATTCGTTCGAGGTATTAAGTTTGAGGTGGTCTCGGCGTTCGCAAATTTTGATAGTGCCAGACCTTGTTGATAAATAAAGTCCGCAAATTGCTCTCCAATCAACACACCTTGAAGCAATTTCATCGGGTGTGAGCTTTCACCTGCAGTTCGAGAATCTGTCTTTAAGCTTTCTACCAGTCGTTTCCCAGCGATCGCGTTATCCCCGTGAAGTACAACAGCGTCAAGTGCTCCAAAGCCCAAAGTTCCATTCATCAAAAGCTGTGGTCCCGACTGAATGTAGTTGTCGAATTGTGTTCTCAACAAGGCATTGTAATGTGTGAAAATTAAGTCATCCCATGATTGACAAACAGGTTCGACGCTCGAGATGTCACCAGAGAGAATACCGTATACTGCTCGCTCGTACTCATCATTGCCGCCTTTTCGTGCAAGTGCAAAACACATGCGTCGCCAAAGAGCACCAGATGCAATGTCACCTTCCTCATCATCTTCCAATGGCTTTTCATCCGGTAGCCCAGACATGCTAACTGCTCTCCATACTTCGGTTCGATCCATACACCATTCTCTGATTTCGGCTGGGCTTCTACCTCGACGGAGCATTTGATAACACCCTAACCAAATGGCGCGCTCGAAATATTCGTCTTGTACCTCCAGCTTTCGGCCTTGACGGGTTACGGAATCAGGATCCAGCTGGGTGACTAGAGGTTCAGTTTTGGTTGCATTCCACATCATTTTTTGGGTTTCATTAGAATTGAGGTCCACAGTTCGAGGCCAAGAGTGTTGATTTTTCTGAAGCTTGATAGCTGCCCTGGTGTGTAACCAACCATGCGCGATGATATCTCCCCTCTCCGCGTTTTGCTGTAAATCCTGTACTAAGACGTCGATTTCTTCCCCCGATTCCTCGGCCGTATCCTGAAGCCATCGAAGCACAGTTTTTCGTTCCAGGGCTAGATTATCTGCCTGTAGAAAATGATCCCAAGCTTCTCGTTCACTCGAATACTGATTTAAAGGTGTTTGTTGAGGTTCGAATTCTTTTCCGTTATCTGGTCCGGGAAATCGTAAGTGTGCCAATCTTCTGAAAAGGTCCCAAGTTTGCGCCTCCTGTTCCCATCTAATCAGATCCTTCACTGTTGTTCTGGAATTTGTTATAAACTCTTCTTCCTCGTCCGAGTTTTCCATATCCACTTCATCAGTATCTTGCGTGATTTTGAAACCTCTCATCTTTTTTCTCCAACTCAAACCCTCCATTCTTCGGCGTTCGGACTCATGGCGATCTCGTAAACGGTCTAATGTATCGAGAGCAGTTCTATGATAAAGCTCAATCAAATCGAATGCCATCTCTCGTCGCTCATCCCCATCTGTCACCCTTAAAGGATTGTAACCATCAAGAAATTCCGCAAACTTCTCCACCTCATTTCCGACTCGATTCGCAGCATCTTGAAGGGGGTATAAGACAGCTTCTGTTTCTCCGGAACTTTCTAGCATAGCTGGTTTTTCATATTCAACTACCAATGATAGAAGTTAGTAAGTATAAGGCGCATGAACATCATTTTAAAAAAAAAACTCATAAGAATTACTGACTTCGCTCTTGCTCTTGCTCTTCTCCATAGCGCGACATTCCATCGTAAGAAGAAGGGTCTTCAGAAAGTTCTCTTTCAAATCTTGGTTCCTGCTGCGCGGAAGGGTTAGCATTCTTGAATATTCTGAATTGCATTCCAAAGAAACTCACAGCTATCATTTGCCAACTTCCTTCACGGTGATTCTAGAAAAAGGAAACTTCAAGTCAGCTTCAATTCCCGTATAATTCAGGCCTTTAATATTTACCTGAGACCTTGGTACATCCAATCCATTTGTGTGATTGTTCATCGTAGAATTGCGCGTTGACATGGGCGCCATATTTTACAATGCGATACTTTGAAAGGGAAAGAAATCAGAAAAAGCAGTGTACAATTTGTTTAATGTTGATATTATTCGTATGGACGGACCAAATCCTCAAATCAACAAATTGAAGCTTCGGCCTTCGAACAATTTAGTCGCGTCCTGAAATGTCAGGGATTATTAATTTTTAGATGCGATCTTGACTTGTGAGTACCAGGGAAAGTTTAGCGCGACATGGCATTTGACGCTAAGGAAATCTTCTATTTAAGAGATTTCTTGCGTGCAAATTTGGACATTTTCTCTTTACAATGTTTTTACCGCCCTTCTAATTAGAGTCTCGAATCAAGCCTTCAATGTTTGGTTAGGTCCATTGGGATCTCTTTGCGCGCTCATGATCGGCCATATTAAAGACTCTTCCTGTTTCCGTTACCTGACCTTTTCGGAGGTGTGAAGGATGGCAGTAAACTTGGAGAGTTACATCTTTTCGTAAGAAACTGGACTGTAATATTGATGTGATGAAAAAGTGATGTGTGATGAAGGTGTTTTATATAGTCCATCTATCAATGTCGGACATACTATGAGAGTATACTATGAGAGTTGCGGCATCAACGAATGAATATAAAAGCCTTCATGATCGTTTCTTATCTAGAGTGCTCATCTATCTATCATCTTCATGCCTGTCTCTCTTCTGATCTCTGCTTCATCCTCAACCGTAGCAAATTTGCCTTGGGACAGGAGACACTCTTTGCATCATCACCATTCTTCTCATAGAATGCATTACAGCAATCATATAGTGCATCAATCTGTGATCTACACTTCTCTTCATTGTAATTATTCTTTGCAAGACAATCTAGGATGTAAATCATCAGTTGAGTTCCCAATTGGCTTGGAGAGAAAGATGCTGACCTTGGATGGCACACTTTATCCAGTTCAGTCTTGTCAGCTCTTTGTAAAAGGCAATATCAGTTGGTGAGTGTAACATACAGCTTTAGAATGACAAGGTTGCTCTGTATTTATATCATTTTTGAGCGGCTAAAAGTCCATAACATAATCATTAGTATCAATAACTTCCAAAAAAAAAGAAGCAATTTGACTTGATAGAAAAATGTTATCACCATATTCAACCTGGATTCTCAGCAAATGAACCACCAGATAGTTTCCTTTTGAATGAATGTATGTTGCTGCGACAACCTAGGTAGGTAGATACTATATTGATCTTGTACTGTATTGATCTTTAATCGCAGATGCGAAAGATGCAATCAATCTCTTTCAAAAAGGTATTCAATGGTAGATAGAGAAGTCTGAAGTTGTTGTAAATTCTTGTTCATTCTTTGGTTCCTTGAGAATCTTTTTATATCTATCTACCTACCTAGTACGTAGATGAAAGACTACAGCAACCTCCAGCAAACTCCCCTGCACCAATCAGAACCCGTCCACCCACACCACTCCTCTTTCCTTTTTGTGTTACTAAAGCTTAGCGTCATCAGCCACAAGCGTGAATTTGACTTCCTCATAATTCCTTACCTACCACTCGACTTCCTCTTAACCTTCGACCTGACACAACTGATAACTTTTAAAGACATTTTAAAAGTAGATCGATTTACTAAAGTCAAATCTACTCCTGTATTGTAAGTTTTGTTACATAATAATACTCTTTATTTCATAAACTAACCAATTCACCACCATCTACAGCCTCGAATTGAGAAACACCCACCCCACGAATTTCATCTACCCATTTCCCAAACTTCAACTTCAAAATGTCCGACAATGAAGGATCCCCAGCTGGCGAGAGACCCGAAGCCCCTGTTTCCGAGCACTTGAACATCAAGGTTACCGATAACAATAATGAAGTCTTCTTCAAGATCAAGCGTTCCACTCAGTTGAAGAAGTTGATGGATGCTTTCTGCGAAAGACAAGGCAAAGCACCAAACTCCGTTCGCTTCCTCTTCGATGGCAGCCGTGTTCAAGCTACAGACAGCCCAGATAAGGTGTGTATTCATTATCGTATTTTGTGGAGGATTTGATATTTGTATTCATCGGAGAATATTTCTGTGCTACTGTGTCGCATCACTTTTAACTAACGCATTTTACCTCAGTTGGATATGCAAGATGGTGACACTCTTGAAGTCCATCAAGAGCAAATTGGTGGCCAATAAATCATCCCTTGCTTTCTCATCCATTCCACTACACGACGATACGATACCATAACAATTCGACATGCGCATGATAGGGAGAGGCGAAATGGTACCAGGGCTTAGGATAACTCTGGTTGGAGATGACTAATAGCTCAGACCGAAGGAGAAGAATGTGCAATGCTGCGTTGGCAGTTAACATTTAACATCTTGCAAAGCGAAAACAATCTTCTAATCTGGGCTATTTTTTCCTTGTGTTTGGGGGATGACTCGTCAGTTTTACATCGCGGTATTGGCGTGTTTTAGGGAGGCGTCAAATAGTGTTTCTTCATACTTCAGGGCATATTTTCTGGCTGTAGCCACGAAGGACAGAATTTAGATGCTTGTTTTCCTTGGGTGGAAGAAAATGAAGATGTTCTCAAATTGTGACGGGGTCTTTCAGCATCTCGTCTGATTTACGCTTTGGTTTTGTTGTGATTCTTATTTGATGTGTTTCTAACATAGGTTCTGCTGTTATATTGAGAGTGCATGCGCTGTGAAGTCCTTTCCACTGCCTTCATTTACTCTCTCGTTACATTGTGACTTTGCGAGCAAATCATCCTGCAATCAACCCCGATTCCTCGGTATGAGCATCTAGTGTGGACTTCCATCTTTATGAAGGATATAATTCTTAGTTGCTACCGAACTGGCGGCGCTAAAAATCAACGTGGCCTCGTTGCTCTGTAATGGTAACTTGTGCATCTATACACGCACACCATCGATTGGTGCTACACCTCGGCGCAGAATGAATGCGTAAGAGAGTAAAATATGTATGCATGGTCCACCTCTTACTTCTAAGCTCTATACTTCGTGCTTATAACTCCCAGATTAGATCTGCCTTAGCCCTCCACCCTTGTTCCATCATCCTTCTCCGTACTTCTCTCCTCAATTTCACCATGGACCAAACTAATCATCCCATACCCCTTTCTTTATTTTCTCTGCCTCCTGCCTCCTCCTTTCTTCCTCCTCTCTCTCTTCCTTCCTCCTCTTCATCTCCTTTTCCTTTTGGACTCGTTCATATTCCCTCTGTTCCTCTGTTTTCTTCGGTGCGCGAACACCCAATGCACCTGCTATGAGTCGTCGAGCTACCGCATCTGTTTTTTCCTGTCTGCGCTCTGGGCCCCGCGCAGAATTGGGTGAGGAGGATGAGGGGCCGGGGTAACCATAGGGATTCTCAAATTCTTGTGCAGAGGAGGAATTGATGGGTTTTTTGGAGGTGGAAGAGGATGGGGGAGGGGGAAAGTGTTCGCTAGGTGGAGGGGGAGAGATAGGGGTAGGTGGTGGTGCGGAGGGGAATGAAGAGGAGGTGGGGGATAGTGTATTTTCGGTTGATGGGGGTTGAGTAGTGTCGGTTTCGGTTTCGGTGTCGGAACCGGAGGAGGCTTCGTCTTCCCAGGAGTCGGCGAGGGATATGGATTTTTTGGCTCTGGAGAAGGGTTTGGATTGGGTAGAGGAAGAGTTGATGCTGAGGTTGCTGAGGGTGTTGGAGAGGTCTGAGAGAGGGGTTAGCTGCGGGGTTCGTGGGGGGGGGAAATAGGAAAGAGAAATTGATTTACCTTTTGGTTCAACTGTCATGATTGCGATTGAGTTCGAGTGATATTGGTGATTTGTTTGCTCGGTGTTCTAGAGTATGTAGAGGAATAGGATTAAAATGCGTTCAATGGTCCAGAGCAGGAAGTGTAGTGTTTGTGCGGATAACAGACGATCCACTACTTCTGTATTTCTTGAATATGTAATTTCGACTTTTAAACAGATGAGAGACTTTGTATGGTTTCGTAAATGCAGATGTTCAATAAGTATCATGTGCGTAAATAAAGTACGAATCAGAAGGTAATAGCTTCCTAATAGTAACTCATGCCATCCCTCTCTCATAGAGTCGCGTAGCGCATTCTCCAGCTCGGGATATCCACGGCTAACCGAAAATGATTTCTCCGCATCGTGGATTGGTGGAATCCGCTCTAGCTAGTCTTTAGCTCCCATCAATTATTGCTTGGATGGACGAACGGACGGCGCAAGACACCGAGTAGATACATATTAGGTGACGGGAACGGGAAATCAGAATTTGGATTCTATCATGTGGAACGAGTTATGCATCGTTTTACTAGGTAGTCTTTTGTGTACGAGGTGGGAAAGCGGATAAGAGTGTATGGAGGTACCGTACCGTAGAGGTCCAGAATTCAATGCAAGAGATCGTGCGTACCTACGACGTAGTTTGCTTTCCCCACACATGTGAAGACTGCAGGTGTACTGAGGCCGATTTGAATCATTTGGCCAAAACCCCAAAAATAGAATTCTGCCTAATGGAAAAAGAAATTTTAGAATCTGTATAGTGTGTTTATAGAAATCTTATAAAGAGAGATAGAATTCAATCTTATTGAAGATTTTTTGTAAAATGAATTATACTATTGAATAGCTCTTAGAGTTAGCTTTATTTATTTGTTTTTAGAATTCATTTCGAGATTTTCTATAAGAAATGTATTAATATTTAAAGTCTATTTTCAAATAGTTTTCCTTATAATATATAAACTACTTTAGGATAAGCAAAATAAATAAGCAAGCTTAATAAAAACTTCTTATCTGAAGCTTATCTCGTTTAAATTATATAACTAATAGAGTTTTAATAAGCTTCTATAATATTGAAAGAAAAAAGAATTTAATTTAGTATACAACCCTAAAGAGGCTTATAAAATAGATAAAAAAGTAGTATAATTATTTATTAAAATTCAAGGAATTAATTAATATAATTACTTTCGAATTATCTCAAAATTTGAAATTGATATCTAATATACTATGATTTTAATTACTTCAATCAAATCTGTTTTATATTAATACCTCAAATATTAAGTATTCTGATTAATTAAATCTCAACTAATTTTTTTAATAATATAGAATTTCTTTGATTTAGTATACAACTTTAAAGAAATTAATAAAATAAAAAGAAAAGAATTATAACTATTAATTAGTATTGTTTTTATATAAAAATAATATAATAATACATCTTTTTATATATATATGTATATATATAGTTCTATATTCATATAGTATACTGGGAGCGAATCACAGGACCACATGACCAAGTCACATGATCATATCACGTGATCGTCGCTTAAGGCCATTAGCCCAGAACGGCCGGAAAACCGATTCTTTATTAGCTCTTTCAACTCATACGTAGCTAGGTTGACGTAACCCTAGTGAAATCGAATAAGGAATAAGAAAGAAGAGCTGTATCTAATGGAATGGCCGGAAAAGGAAGAGATCTACGATGGTGGAAAGCTAGATTGGTAGAAAAAAAGCATAAAATAAGGCCTTTCCCCCTCGAATATAGAATAAGAAAAAAGAAATATCATATACTGTTTTATGAAAATCACGTATTTCATAAGCTATTTAGTTGTTAATACGAGCCAGCTTCTTATAATAGACTAATACTAGTCTAATCTCTCTTATATACTATATATACCATATACTCATATACTAGCTTATGATCTACAATACTTTAATCAAATCTGTTTTATATTAATACCTCAAATATTAAGTATTCTGATTAATTAAACCTCAACTAATTTTTTTAATAATATAAAATTTCTTTAATTTAATATATAACTTTAAAGGAATTAATAAAATAAAAAGAAAAGAATTATAACTATTAATTAGAATTTAAGAAATCGATTAATTTGTTTTTTTTTACATTATCTCAAAATTTGAAATTTATATTTAGTTTAAAAGTAATCTAATAAATTTGAATAATAATCAATTTTTAATATTGAATCTTTTATTCTTCAAATATTATTATATTAATTATAAATTTCAATTTTTGAGATCATATAGAAAAAAAAAATATCAATCGATTTCTTGAATTTTAATTAATAATTATATCTGTTTTCTTTTCATTTTATCAATTTCTTAAAGGTTATATACTGAATTGAATCTTTTTATCTGTATAAAAGCACACTACTAAATTCTAAATACCTTTTTAGTTCAGGCAGAAATCTATTTTTAGGGTTTTGACCAAATGATTCAAATCGGCCTCAGTAGGTGGGTTTAGGTGAAGCTCAAGCTCAAGCTCAAGCTCAAGCTCGTCGGCGTTTATTCCCGATGCGTAATCCCGAGGTTCGAGGTTTGTAGCTTGAGGTAAATCTTTGATTGCTTTGTGAACATCTATATTGCTTATCACGACGACGAGAGTATTTTATGATTTGTTTATACGTAGCCTGTCCGTTTTATGTTGTACATACTTGGTGTTTGTATTTCTTTCTCAACTACGGACACATAACTGGAAATATAACACAACATGATACGCTCAAAAGCTCTCACGCGGGGTAGATTTGGGTACTCCAGCACGAGAACGTTGAAGCATTTTGCAAGTAGGGAAGATGGTAAACATACACACGAGGAAAGATATGGAGAAACAGTCAAGAATTTGAAGATTGGAAGCCATACTAGAGTTATATTCCAGGGTTTCACAGGTATGATGATGTGCAATTGACTGTTCTGTTCATCGCTGATTTGATACAGGTAGACAGGTGACATCCCATAATTAAGAATCATCAATGATTCCTATACTGATCTCAATACCCCATAAAGGCCACAGCAAATGCAAAAGAATCAATAGAATGGGGAACTAACATAGTTGGTGGTGTGACACCTGGAAAGAGCGGGGAGCATTTGGGATTACCAGTTTTACCTACAGTGAAGGAGGTGAGTATATCACGATTATGGATGTTAATTCTACTAACAACCCGAGATAGGCAATGGAGCAACTTAAACCAGATGCAACTGGAATATACGTAGCAGCTCATCAAGCACCAAGCGCAATTGAAGAAGCCATTGAAGCAGAAGTTCCTCTTATTGTTGCTGTCGCTGAACACATCCCTATTCATGATATGTTAAGAGTATGAATTCATGAATTTAAAATAATACGAAGCTGATATGTTCAAGATACATAATATACTGGACACTCAATCAAAAAGTCGATTGGTTGGTGCCAA